TGCTGATGAGTACCGACTAGCACGAAACCTAGGTCCAAGGCTTCCTGCCGATCACCTCCAACCATCTAATACCAACAATTCGTAGTGCACCGTAATGGTGAGCCACCTAATGGTATGGTGGCCACATTGCAAGCTTGACTGATAGAATTCAGTCTGCACCGAAGATAGGACTAGACACATTACACTAGTTACTGACTAGTGTCCAATCAAAGATATGGCAGATATTATCACCACCAGTCAGTCAAATCAGAGGAGGACAATAAATAATGTTAAAATGTATTTCAATTCACATCATAACATTCTAACAAGTTACTTAGTTTTGCTGTAAAAATATCTTTTCTCCCATCTGATTGTATTTGATTGATAACACTAATATTATTATTTCTGAATGTACTTTATCTTATGTTACTGATTTTATTCAAATGTCTAATCATCATTTTTACTTATGGATATAAATGAAGCAAGAAAGTCTTGTGAGTGACTAGATATGATTATGGGTGGCAATACATTTTGCTCGGGAGGTGGTCATCAGTAAATATTACTGTATAATAACACTGTGTGATTTTATCAAAATAAAATTTTATCCATAATGGAAAAAGTACATTTTTCAGCGGCAGTTTCGATTGAGAAAAGAAATTTCCTAGAAAACAATGAACTGACTGTGCGTCTTATTATTACCAATACTCATTCGTTTTCTAAACTGTGTTCACCTGAATACCTGTCCATCACCTACTTCTGAACACCACTAGATGTACATAGAAGCATTACAAGAGCATTTACAGACACGTGCTTTCAACGAATTGTCTAAAGAGTAGTTAGAAACGAGATCAGAGCGAAATTTGCACCTTAATTCGTGAATAGCGTTCATATTGGCGATATAATAATGGTAGGTCGCGTTATTCAACGACTGGTACGCGTTTGCACTCGTACATGGTGATCATGATAGGCAGACAAATAAGAACATTCGATGGTTGGGGGTAATCGGCAGGAAACCCTGCCTGACCTAAGTTTCGTGCTAGTTGGCACTCACCAATCAGCACAGCGCATCTGCAACTTTGAAGGAACTGTCTGCACCAAACAAAGGACTAGACGTATAACACTAGTTACGAACTAGTGTGCAATCAAAGTATGCAAGACCGTCGCGAGCTGGAATAGCTCAGTCGTAACATCTCTGACTGCAGCACTGGTTAACGTGGGTTTGAATCTCAGATGAAGGACATGAGCTTCTTCAAGGTGACCGAAGATACGCCATGTTGACTAGTTCCAACTAGCACAAGACCTAGGTCTCAAGGTTTCATAACGATTGCCTCCAACCATCTAATATCAATAGTCCAAAGTGCACTGTAATGGCAATGGTGGCCACAATGAAAACTTGGCTGATGTGAGAATTCAGTCTGCACCAAACAAAGAACTAAACACATTATACTAGTTACTAACTACTGCGCGACTGCAAGTCAGTGTCATCTCTGGCGAGTATTTGTCCTCACTTCCAACCGGACGGATTTCACTGGTCACGACTCCTCATGCTAGAAATCCAGACAACTTCGTACTGTAGCCAATCACTAGAGGGCATCAGATTAATTTTCACGAGTTCGTCTGTAAGGATTTGATATGGTTGGTGTTTACCCAAAAATCACGAACTGGTAGAAATTAGAATTCATGGGCTGGCCACTGAGTTGGGTCTCAGTGGCTGTGAATGGCCTACAAGCTTGACTTGTAACCGGAAGGTCCTGGGTTAGCAACCCGCAGTGTGAGTGTGTACTGACGATGAGCACCAAACTAGGGAGTCGAAACAGCTGTCCAGTACGCCACTAGTGGTTTTCAATGGTTCTCTAACTGTCATCGATCAGCGATCAGACTTGAAACAGACCCTTTTTTAGCTTGTAAAAAACTTAGTGGGGAAAGGGGAAGTTTTGGCGTCATTGCATTCAAGTCATGATGGCCAAGATAGAGAAGGCGTCTGAATGAACGTTTTTTTGAACATGAATTAGGCTTCTTCAAGTGGATTCCGACGGCTTCAGCTATGTGTAAAACACTTAATCCTAAGGCAAAATTAAGATCAATCGGAATACGATAATAGATGAATTTAAATGTCTTGTTGACATCGACTATTTTGTCTTCACTATTTACAAGGTGAAGAGAAACAGAGCTACGAATGGACCTCATCTGTCCCTTGTTTTACCACACGGAATGATGTTCAGAAATCCATTGATGGACGCGCCTAATTGACGGCAAATATAACAGCTTGCTACTATTGGGAAAAAAGCTATCAATGTTATCAGTAGCAACTACTCTTCAAGTTTTATTTGTGCATATATAACTGTAGTAGTCAGATGAAGGAGTTATCGAAAATCATTTTATTGTCTTCTAAATGTTTGAATGAGAATTTTCGGTTTACTGAAGTCTTCAAAATTAAGTATTCAAGTTAAAAGCTTTTATCTCTAGTTTAAACACTGACTGACTGTCTGACTGGTTTCAGAGTAGAACTTTGCACCGATGTGCAGCAGTTGCAGTTGCCACACTCCTTCATGTAGCACACAAAGCAAGAGGAGAGAGTAAGGAGAGATTCAAAACAGGGAGAGATAATAAACATAAATATGGGGCAAAAAGAATAGTAATATCGAAGAACAATATAGTTTTATTGGATATTATAAATCACAAACAGTGGATGCGTCTACGCCAGCCATTGAGAATGATTTTTAGCCATATCACCAATTGTTTGCAGCCATTGGTTTTTACCGTCCCGAGGACCCCAACCAGGAGGCCTACACCCCCTTCGTTGCTGGATGGCTTAAACTAACTGTTGTGGACTTCATCGACTGATGAAACCATGTCTTGGTTTGACCACCACTCGCTAACTCTTTTCCAACCTGATCCATCCTATGTCAGTCAGCTAACATTGCCCGTCGTCGAGGAAGGCGATGGCTAAGCAGGCATGCGTAACACATGTCCTAACCATCTCAATCGATGTAACTTCACAACCTCGTCGATTGATTTCCCCTCCTTACCTAGCACTCAACCAAGGCCTCACCTCAATATTGCTCACCTTATTATACCACTTAACACGGGAAATAGAATGCGAACAGACACCTATGATGAAAGACAGCTGACTAGGTGTTTCATGTCTTCCACTTTCAATGTCCATGTTTCGCTCACAGCCATGAAAGAGGACAGAACGAACTGCTGAGCAGTGCACACACCCTTTGGTCGACAGCTAGCCGGATATCACGCCTACTAAGCAAAAGATAGCGTAAGTTGGCAGGTATATTCGAATCGAGCCTTCTGTATCCGTGCTGAGATTTCGTCAGCGATCAACCCGCTGGCGTTGGGGCTGATGCAACTCCTCAAACAAGTGAAGTGGTCAACACGCTCTACCACTTCGCTCTCTATCAAGTTTAAACATTGTCTGCTGCTAGGCGTTTTTAAAGGGTAACACGCAGACTAGTGTTTCAATGTGACCAAATATTTCTGTGTATGCAAGTTGTTAGAAGATTATATGAAACTATAGATATTGAGGGTGCGTCGGTGGGATTGATAATAATAATAATTTGCTTTATTCCAGAAACAGTACTAGTGGTACAGTGTGGAATTTTCAGCACATATCTACAATATTTGCATCTAATTTTATCCAATGTTTAAAAGGAGTATTTCAAAAAAATAAATATAAAGACAACAACAGCAAAAAACAAACACAAAAATAACAAAAAAATGCGAAAAAATACCAAGAAGTAGAAAGGAAAATAAACAACATAAAATAATATCTCAGTATTGGGTAGTGGAAGCTGTGATATGTTTATGCATGGTGACAGTAAAGCTATAGTCATACAAGAAGTTATGAAATGATACTTAAGAATGTTTATCACCAAGATGATCAGTTAATTTGATTGAACAACACTAAACAATCATAAAATAACATTTCAGGGTTTTTTATTGACAGCTCTAATGTGGTGTTTGTGGTGGTAGTGTGAGTAATCCTGCATAATACAAAATTTTAAGATGATGGTAATGGCGTTCACAACCAAGATTGTCAGTTAATATTGCCGAACAAAAAAAAAACAACCATAAAACTAATAATTACATGATGGTTAATGACAGGACAATTTTGTAATACTCATAGTGCTAATATAGTCGGAACCAGTGGATACACAATAGAAGGAATATAGTAAAGTACAAAAAAGGAAGCCAATGTTAATAATTTAGGTAGCTAAGTATGTTTAAGAAGGTGCTCACTATAGAATACAAAAATAAGAAAGAAATAAAAGAGCCTAAAATTATGTTATTAACAACAAAGCAAGTCATAGGTTTCGCGCTTAACTTTGTCTCTGTCACTTAGAACACAGGCCAAATATGGTATCGTTGAGTTCCTGTACTTGGTTGTACAAGTATATATATTATTTTATACTGATTTCTGGTTCTACTTGATGAGATACAAGGCGAGAGTTGGAAATAGAGGGGGTGTTAGGGGTCGGAGAGTATGGTTTTAGACCATTTTCCGCATGTATTCAGATGCCTTTCAACTAATGCAATGACGAGCTGACTGAGTTTTACACCACTAGTCCTACTGACTACCTTCAACATCCTTCTCAGGATGGTATAGTCCTTTTTCAGTAGACCAGGAAAGACTAACGGGGAGCAGTAAAGTAGAATAGGTAAGATACAAGAGTTGACAAATTGTGAAAGTGGAGGTTGGGTGATTCCAGATTGTCTAAAACAACACACACACACAGTAAACACACTTGTTAACTTCAGACAAGAGTCTATTCATATAAGAACAATCCAATACAGAAATTACTGAGACAGAATTGGTTAGTCTGTCGGCATATTTAATGAAGTTAACCTTGTAAGAATAGGGAAGGTCATGCAAAAAGAAAGTAAAAAGGAATGGAGAGACTGAGGGAGAGCTGTTGAACATTGAATTCTATTTCTGATACTCTTATTAAAGTTTTAATAAATTGGAATGCTAATTATTGATTAAAATTATTATTATTATATTTTGAAAGGCTGAGGAAGCCCAAAAGCGAAGTCAGTTGATGGCACAAAAGCTGAATCGTAGAAAGATTGCTGAAGAAAAGTGTAAAGAATGGATACAGGCAAAACAGAAAGAGATGGCTCAAATGAAAAAGAGAAAAGAAATCGAGAAAAAGGAGAAAGAAGTGAAAAAGTTGCAAGAATTACTTGAAAGAGTAAGTCAATTCATGGATTTATTATTATTATTATTATTTAATTGGTGGATGGTGACTAGCAGTGACGGAATCCAGGATAACGTGCATTTCGTCCCATTTGGGACTCGTTGGTGGCTGGATGTACCTGCATTCCCCAGTAGTGAGTGATGATGTTCCCACCACGGAGGCTCGAACCCAGTGCCCATAGTTTCAAACGCCAGCAAAGCGTTATCCACTAGACCACTTGGGCCACGAGAGCCACCACCTCTTGTGCGCAACGGGTCATATTAATTATTGAATTGAATTTTAGATGTTCCCGTCGATTGATTGGACCGAAGTGCTCGGTCTCAGGTTGACATGTCGGCTTCTTAAATTCAGTTATTATTCCCTTAGGTTCGAAGTGGAACATAAGGTTTCAGCAGCACGCCTCCATTTCATCCTGATCTCTCCTTTATTCCTTTTTACTGGATCCGCATACGATCGCCTCCATATCATCCTGAAAGTGATGCCTAGCTCATCGTTCGTCATTTAGGTTCCACTCGAAGGCCTGGCGCGTAATGATGTCACTCAGGGGTCTTTACAGCCTATGTCCAATCCATCTCCATTTTCTTCTGCATGTTCTCTGGGGAATACGTTCTCGGTTGGTTCGTTGACAGAGTTCCTTATTGGTATTAGATGGTTGGAGGCAATCGGCACTCACCAGTCAGCAAGGCGTATCTGCAACCTTGAAGGAACTCATGTCCCTTCTGAGATTCGAACCCGCGTCACCCAGTGCTGCAGTCAGAGACGTTACCACTGAGCTATTCAGGCTCAGGACTGTATTGGATATTTTTGATTGCACACTAGTCAGTAACTAGTGTAATGTGTCTAGTCCTATCTTTGGTGCAGACTGAATTCCATCAGTCAAGCTTGCAATGTGGCCACCATGCTAGGTGGCTCGCCATTACGGTGCTTGCTTATGCCTTCCAACTGGCCATCTGATCTTCAGTATGGAGCGAATTGTGAAAATGTTGATGAAAGTTTCGAGCAGGTTGTTGGAAAAGCTTCTGTTGGCTCGTGTACAACATCTGTGAACCATATAGAATCACTGACTTGGCAGCGGTGTTGGAAATCGCAATCTTCTTCCTTATTCTAAGTGCAGAAAATTTCTACATTGATTTCAGAATAAGAGACGCCTGTCTTGCTTTTCCGATCTTAGTTGGCCTTCAGGTCTTTGTGCATGCCGCCTGTAGTTGAAGCGATCCTGCCTAGATAGTTGAAGGAAGTGACTTCCATTCTTGCTGCTGTTGGTTAGATATTTCCATCACCTTTGACTTCTCTATATTCACTTGACGTCATGTCTTTGCTGCCTAACGCTTCTGCCAATTGGTTGATTTTCATCTGGAGATCTTCAGGTTTGCGTGATATTAGGCATAAATCATCCACAAAATCTAAGGGCAATGTGATCCCATGCGTTCTAATGTTTGTTTACATTAGAAACAAATGCAATTATGAGATGCTCTAGTCCTCCAAAAATGTGGTTAAGATACGTGGATGATACCTTCGTCATAATCAGATGTAGTTTGTTGAATGAACTTTTTCACTTAATAAAAAATATGTCAGAAACCATCAAGTTTTCCAAAGAGGTTGAATCCGACGAGAATGATTTGGTATTCCTGGACTGTTTAGTACAAAGAAAACTAGACGGTAAGCATTTTCAGAAAGCCGACAAATTCGGACAGATACCTAGACTACTTACTATTCATCACACCCCTTTACCACCAAAGTAACTGCGGCTAAGAATCTGATTAACATAGCCAAACGTCTAGTTACTGAGGAGGAAGAGATTAGCAAGGAACTAAAATTGGTTCAATCCACTCTTGAATCAAATAATTATCCTAGAGCCTTCATAAAAAGATATTTAAAATGTGAAGATAAGGAAGGATGGATCGAAAGCTGTTGCTAAGAATTGGGTTAGTAGAGCGGTGATTCCTTACCACAAAGAAACATCGGATGAGATAAAGCGAATCCTTAACGATCATGACAATATAAGAGTGTATTTTCGTGCAACTAACACACCTTACGCTCATCACTGGTGAAGGTTAAGGATAAAATACAAGAAGAAGAAAACCAACAGAATTGTGTGTACCAGATCAATTGTGGTTGACGCCGTATATGTAGGAGAAACTTCCAGACAGGTAAATATAAGAGTGAAAGAGCATAAACAATGTCTAAAGGTGGTTCCAAATACCTCTGCAGACTTAAAGAAGCTAGAAAACAGATCAGCGATTGCATTGCATTCGATAGAAACGGGATACAAAATCGACTTTGATAGGACTAAGGTTCTACAGAAAGGTTTTGGTTCGTATAAAGAAAGACAGACTTCAGAAGCTTTGCATATATGGGTGGATCCCAACAGTTTGAACAGACGTGGCAAATCCTAATTAATAAATAAAAAATGGATATGTATCAATAATTAATCATACTTGGTCAAAATTCCCGATTGTCTATATCTTCTTATGGAGAGGCTAACAAATGTTTTATGACCGTTTACCCACACACAAATACACACACACCACTGTATACTGCATATACACATATATTTTCATATTCAGTTATCTACGACCATGAACTTTTAGTTTAACGTAATCTGATAAAAAGTACACTCAGAAGGGACATGAGTTCCTTCAAGGTTGCAAATACGCCAGGTCTAAGGCTTCCTGTGGCCGATTGCCTCCAACTATCCTTGGCCTTGTAACCAGAAGGTCTTGGGCTGGAACCCCGCGGTATGGGCGAGTACTGTTGAAGAGTCCCAAACTGGGACGATATGAACAGCTGTCCAGTGCCTCCCTGACTGGTTTTCCAATGGTTCTCTAACCGATGTCAGCTCATGATGAAATCTTTTAACCAATCCATCAAATCCCTACAAATCAATACTTGACTAAAATAAAATGTGTGACAGTTACCCAATCATATGAAACAAAAGTACATACTAATAACCAATCACGGTTTAGTAGGTCAAGTAGTCAGTTCATGGTAGGCAAAGATTGATGTCTATTGTTCTCTGTACACATATAGTTTGAGATGCATGTGATTAATCCCTAAAAGTGCTTCCATCACTTTTAATAACCTTGAAATAAATTTATGTGAAATTAGCGAGAAACAGTCATTAATAATAATTTTGTGACCTGACATTAATAAATGCTTTGCAATATAGATGAGGCTGGATTTTTATTCAGATTAAGGATATCTGAGTTTTCCGCGTGACTTAAGATTTTCATCTCGGTGATATTGGAACATTCTACTGGTTCTACCAGTGTTTACGTGTCCCCGCAACTGGAGGTCAACCTGTAGATACAGTGTGAAGTAGATCCCACAGAATTATGTTGTTTAGTTGTAGGCAATAGGAATTGAAAATGTTCGAGATGAGGCGTAGAATGTGCACTTGACAGCTGACCGAAGCACCTGAGCTGTCAGTTGCTTGGTTTGATCACACTTGAATGGTAGTTTAATGAAGATAGCTTTCTTTGGTGTGGAAGCTGTCTTTTCAAGGGTCAGTAGTCTCTCCTTACTGTTTTAAGGATACTGATTAGCTAATAAAACTGAATTTATGCACCATAGCTCATCCACTAATATGTCACTTGTGGAAATTTTACGCGGCCTTGAAAATAGGCATTTCCCTGGGGAACGTTTGTATTGGATAGGAACAAAAACTACTGGAATGAAGATATTGTCCACTCTATGTCTGGTTGAGAAATATGGATCGCTTAATTGTTCCGTCATCTCGCTTAGTCATTTGAAATACACAGGAAATCCGGTCTTTTTTTAAAATTCAAAATGTGAATTCTGATGTCACTCGAATCTTTGGATGAATGGAGTAATGAAGTTTTCAGTCGACTTATTATTTAAATAAGGCATTAAGAAGACAAATTTCGCGAGATATCATTTAGTAGTTTCTTTACAACTGTTTTACAACTGACATGGTTAACAATAATAAGGTAAAATAAAATGCATGACAATTACTCAGTTAAATATAAAACGAAAGTACATACTAATGACCAATCATATTTAGATAGGTCATGTAGTCCATGGTAGGCGAAGGTTGAAGTCTATTGTTTTTTGTAAACACAGTTTAGGCTGTATGTGATCAATCCCCAAAGTGCTTCCATCACCTTCAATAACCAACCTTGAATTAGAGTTATGTGATGAAATAATCGCGAAACAGTCATTAATATTGATTTTGTGACCTGACATTAATAAGTACTTTGCAATGGATGATGATGGTGATGGATTTCTATTCAGATTAATAATTGCATTGGGATTTTCTATGTGTTTCAATAACCATTTTGGAACATGTTCCTTTTGACGACATTGGAACATTCTGTTGGTTCTACCTATATAGTGTGTGTCACCGCAGCTGCAGGTGAACTTGTAGATACAGTTTGAAGTACAGTCCACAGAATTTCGTCCTTTAATGGTTGGTACAGGGATCGAAAATGTTCGGCAAGTGAGAAAAAGAGATGCGGCGTAAAATGTGCGTTTGATGGCTGACCGAAGTGTCTTTGAGCTAGCTGTCAAGTGCATAATCTGGTCTCCCTTGAATGGTAGGTTAACAAAGATAGCTTTCTTTGGTACAGTAGCTGTCTTTTCGAGATGTGGTCTTTCTTTACTGTGACAAGTGATAAAGTTTTCCGGATAACTTATTATTGTCAATAATAATGAAAATATGGCTTACATAGTGTTTATATAGAGTTAGCTTTTACTAGCATACCTTTCATTCCTTCCTCCAATTTCGAGATAAGCGCATCTGATAAAAAAGTGGCCTAAGAGGGCTCCCCATTGTATGCTTTTCCTTGGAAATTGAATCTGATAATTTCTGTACATGTCTGATGTAAGTGACATGCATACGCAATCGCAAGTGAAATCAACAGTCTCGAGAATATAACCTTTTTCTTAATGTTCACAGTGTGAGTATGTTAACAAGATTGAATGGACTTTTTACAGAGTGTTTTGATAAGGAATTACTTATGGGCGTGCAAGGAGTGCGTCAGTGGCATTCTGCGGTGGAATGCTCGCCAGCCACGCCTCATGTGAATATATGTGTAAAACTTGGGCACTGTGGTAGTAAGTAATTCCATATTAGTTTGTTTATTAGATGTGTATCACACAGTGAGTGAAACAGTATTATTTACTGGGTGACACAGTTTCGAACAAAATTTATTACTGTTCATAATCATTTCATCAATTATAATCACACGACTTTGAAACTTGAGTTTTATAGTTTTAATTGTCCTCTCCTATTTGTCGTAGGGGTAGCAGAATTTTCCAGATATCTGTTACATATATTTGTAGTTCATTCGATGAAAAAAGCTTCTGTTATCAATCTCTCCCTCCACCATGTTAGTAACGTTAGATTTTAAAACTGTCATCTTATCCCATCATCCTATTGTATGGTTGTGTGCGATTGCATGTAGTCGGTGCTATAGCTGAACTACTCTCTAGATTTCTTATCTTATTTTGATCAACCAATCTAGATTTCGCTGCTAGGTTTTTATGTTCAGCTAGTCTCACTGCCCCTGTTCTACTACTTTGACCCGTGTATTTTATATTATATATTATTGCTTCTGTCTTTTGCTCTACTTTTCACCTGCATCCATGTTAATCCATACTGTTTCAACTCCTCTTCACACGATCCCCTTCATGTCACCCTTGGACGTCCCACTCGCCGCTTCCCTTTCAGGTCCCACTCGAGAGGCTGACGCGCGATGTCACCCGGTGGCCTCCTCAGCGAGTGTCCAATCCATCTCCACTTCTTTCTCCTGCATATTTGTTCGGTGACTGCTTCCTGTTTTTTTCGTTCCCATAGCTTCTTGTTGGTGATTCTTTCCGGCCATCTAATCTTCAGTATAGAACGAAGACAGTTGTTGATAAAGGTCTGCAACAGGCTGTTGGAAATATTCTTTGTGACCCGCCAAGTTTCTGATCCGTATAGAAGAACTGACTGACTTGACGTTTGTATTGAAAATCCGAATAATTTTGTTGTTGATGCAGAGTGACGAAGATTTCCAGATTGGTTTCAGGTTGATGAATGTGTTTCTCGCCTTCCCGATTCTCGATTTGACATCCTCGTCCGTTCCTCGTGTAGTTGAGACAATGCTCCCTAGATAAGTGAATGAAGTAACCTCTTTCAAATCCCTCCCGTTGATGGTGATGAGCGCTGGATGTTGTTGTTGGCTGGTTGGTTATTTTCATAACCTCCGTCTTGTCTATGTCCACCTGGAGTCCTGTCTTCACCGGCTGCTTCTTCGACCAGTTTGTCGGTTTTCGCTTGTAAGTCTTCGATTTTGTGTGAAATCAAACATAAGTCACCGGCGAAATCCAGGTCTTCTAGGTTCTTTATTTCGATCCAGGATATCCATGTCTTCTCGTTTCCCACTGTCTGACGCATAATTCAGTCCACCACAATTAGGAATATCATTGGTGATTATAAGCACCCTTGTCTGACTCCTGTGTTTACCCGTGTATTTGGCCTGACAATCATTGCAGGCAGGATTTTAGGTAAACTAAATTGTTTGGTTTATTGGCTCCACTAGCAGGATCCTTTAACCGACAAAGCTTGTTTCTAATTGAGTTTGTGGTTGGTTTGAATGCCAGCCACTTTTATTCCTGCCTTGTTAAGAATTCTGCGTAAGTTTTCCGACGTTCCTTCCTTGTATGGAATTACTACTGATGATTTAGATTCCTTATTGTTGATGTTGTCTTGCACATGTTTGACATGCATGTCGTCATTAATATTACTATTATTATTATCACTATCACTACTATCATTATTTATTTTATTTTTACATTTCCCTACATACTTCCTGATTAATTTATCAGGGTAATTATTAATTAAGTTTCTAAGCTTCTCTTATATGTATCACTTCCTGCCTTAGATTTTCCTTGGTACTACTTAGTTTTTGTGCTCTGTCATTTAAACATTTCACCAATCCTATTTTTACTGACATAGAATGAGATGATCGGAAGTCCCAACACCTGTCCTAGATATCTGGAAAATTCTACTACCCCTACGACGGCGAATAGGAGAGAACAAAGAAGACTATAAAACTCAAGTTTCAAAGTCGTGTGATTATAATTGATGTTCGAAACTGTGTCATCCAGTAAATAATACTGTTTCACTCACTGTGTGATACATCTAATAAGCACGCCTCATGTGGTTCGGGGTTCGATCCCCGGCCACTGACCCACCACTCCTTTACCTCGCTAAGCCAGTAATAAGACTGGTGAAAAAAAGAGGGGAGGTTGGACATGAGGCTAGAAGCAACCTCATCCCGTAAAGATAATAAACATCACTACTACCGAAACTTCACGCCTCTAGCTTGAGGTCCTATGTTCCCCTGGAAGGGGGGGAGGGGAACGTAAAGGAATAATATAATATAGTATAATAATATGAGCGTAAGGACCTTACACTCGCCTTATTCTTATTCCTTCCTATTTTAGACAGAAAAAGCTCGACTGAAATATGAAGAATGGTGTAAAAGGAAACATGAAGAAAAGGATAGACAGATTGGTTTTGAGAAACAAATTGAAATGAGCAAGCAGTTGGCTAACAGAAGTCGTCAAGAGGCATCAGCTGCAGCCTATACGCAATGGTTGAAAATGAATGGTAATAAAAAATGCCTTCAATATTATTCACATGGTTATTCTGATGGAAAACTTATTGGTGGGTGGATATTTCATTAATTAAAACAAAAAATTTTATTTCTATTATTATTGGTGAGATTATTTGAGAAAGTTTGAGATTGACAGGTTGATTGTTGATGAAGTGGATGTTGGTGCGATTCGAACTAACACCAGTCAAGTGTGGCATTGGAAATCAGGGAACATTGGACACCTGTTTTATTCTAGATTGGGAATCTTAACACAGTGCACCCACATGACGCCCCTCCCCCCAACGGTGATCTAACACGGGACTATCAAGTTACCAGACCAAGTTCGAGGACCATTCAGCCAATTCAGCTGGAATTAACTTCAATTCCGTCGACCGAAAAGTACTATGACGATGTTTGGCTGTAAAGGGAAGGCCGAGAAAGTAGATCGCACTGATCAACGCACTTTACTCGAACTTATGCAGCCAGCTAGGTGAGAGCATACGGAGAGTTGTCATCTAAAATGCTGGAAGTCAGTGGTGTCCCTCAGGAATGCCCACTGTTCCCATTCCTGTTTTATTTCATCATAGGAGTATTAATGCAATTAACCCTAACTGGTTTCAGCGACTCCGGGATTGACTTGTTACCATCAGGGAATAATCCCGTTAACTTAGAATATGCAGATAATATAATCCTCCTCTTCGGATGTTTGAATGCGATTCTCTCCTGTCAAATGTAAGATGATGCTACAGAGCTGGAGTACACTGACTCCTAGCTTAAAGATAGGGAGTGAAATGGTAGAGCGCGTTGACCACTTCATTTATTTGGGAAGTTGTATCAGCCAAAGCATGTGAATTGCTGACGAAATCTTCTTGCGGATACAAAAGGCTCGTTTCGAATATAACAACTTACGCTATCTCTAGCGTAGATGTGATATCTGGCTGTCTGTCGACCAAAGGCCGTATGTACTGCTCAGAAGTTCTCTCCGCTTTCTTTTAAGGCTGGCTTTGAGTGACATATAGCCATGAAAGTGGAAAACATGAAAAGGCTAGCTGTCTTTGATCATAGGTGCCTGCATCCTATCTCCCATTTAAGTGGTATAATAGAGTGAATAATATTGAGGTTAGGCATCGGTCGAGTGCTAGGTAGCTGGGAGGAGAAATAAGTCGACGAGGCTGTGAAGTTACATCGACTGAGATGGTCAGGACATGTGTTACGCATGCCTAGCCATTGCCTTTCTCGACGACGGGTGGTGTTAGCTGACAAAGGATTTGGTTGGAAAAGAGCTAGCTGGTGGTGGTCAAGCCAAAACATGACTTCATCAGCAGATGAAATCCACAACAGTTAGTTTAAGCAACTTATCCAGGTGTAGAGTTCCTAACTAGTTGGGGTCCTCGGGATCTTTAAAACCAATGAAGGTTGAAGACAATCGGTTTTATGGCTGGCTCAAAATCGTTCCCAATGGCTGGGGCAGATGTAATCACCGTTTGTGATTTATCATATCCAGTAAAATTCTATTTTTCTTCCATATTACTATTCTTTTTCTCTCACTCACACTTGTGCTTATTATCTCTCTTCTGATGAGTCCGTCTTTACTCTCTTCTCTTACTTGGTGTGGTACATGAAGGGAGAGTGGCAACTCGAACTGGTGCACATCTGTGCAAAGCTCTACGTTGAAACAAGTCGATCAGTCAGAGCACTACCTTCAACCAATGTGTCTTCAATGAGCATCCACCTCACCTTCACTCATGGTGGACCCCAGTGGTTACGACTTCCTACTGAGCCTTCAGGAAATCCACCCAGTACCTATTGGTATTATTCAAATTGTAGGATTTGCGGGAATTTTGGATTAATTTCAAACTTGATCACAACCAGAGTCATCATTTTATTTTAAATTGTCATTCATTACATCAATATGAATAATGCGGAGTTTCGTCCCGGTTTGAGACACTTCGGCGGTGCGCGCTGATGACCTCCGGTATGGATCAAATCCAGGACCTTCAGGTTAAGAGGCCAACCTGTTGACCATTCAGCCAGTGTGTTGTCGGAATTTAGTGATTCGTGAATTTTAACCATTCGTAAATTTCAAAAGATCCATTAGTAGTGAGAAAAGAATATTCTTTTCGATAACCTCTTGTTCCTCTTCAGGTTCTACAGTTTTATATGCATAATAGTTGAAGAATTATTATTATTAACAAAATTAATGGGTTAAATAACATTGATAAATTGCAGTTTCTCCTACTCAGAATCTATGAATTTATAGGTTCAACAGGGTAACAATAATGACTAGATATGTTTCTTTCTCTAACAGATCTCCGATTTTCTTAAGCGAATTGCAATTACCTCTGCTGTTTGGAGTATTTGGCATCTAGGGTCTTTTGGCAGTTTATTTCATACCTGATAGATGATAGCAGAGGATTCTTCAGTGTGGTAGCATTATGGCCTGTTTGAGCCAGATGGTCCAATATCGAACTGTTGATGGTTTCTGTCAGACCCTTTTTTAGCAACCTACTGGTAAGTGTTCCGGAGAACAAAAAACTTAAATGCTAGAGCAGTGGTCAATGTAACTGACCCGACGCCGCCGCTAATCACTGTCATAGGTAAGCATCCGTTTCCCGCCCGATATAATGATCCCAATCGGCTATGACTTCTCATTAGGATTTCAGGACACTCACCTTGTGGCCATTAATGAGGTAGAGAATGATATTTATATTGTGCATTTTGCAGGGATTTAGATTTATTTCCAATGCAGATGTCTTCACGAAGTGACATCAGTTAGGGAACTGTTAATGGGCTCTCTGACTTTCAGTGATCTCTTTAACTGGTATCGATTCGTGTCGAGATTAGGATCAATTTTATCGATTGTTAGACTTTCGTTACAAAGCAACATCAGTTAAAGAAATCATTGAAAAACACCACGGAGCACTGTACAACTATTTCGTCCTAGTTTCAAACTCCTCACCAGTGTACACCTATGACCCTATTAGGCAACCAATCCAGGGCCTCCTAACAATTGAAATTAATCCAACATCCCCATAAATCTCATAGTCTAACCATCAGTCTTCAGCTCATTGATGCCTACTGGATGGGTGTCCTGAAGCTGTACTTAGAAGTCATGACTACTAGGGTCCACCATGTCAGGGTGAAGGGGGTGATGATGGCACATCGGTTGAGGTCAGTAGTTAGAATTTACGGGTCATTGAATTCTAGCCTCAAATGGCTGATGGATGGATGGATGGTCAGTGTGAGTTTGATCTGGTAACATGAAGGTCTCGCGTTGGATCCCCATTAGGTAGGGTCATGAATGTGCACATGTGTGCGCTGAAGAGTCCTAATCTAGGACGAAACAACTGACTGTCAAGTGCTCCCTGGTTTTCAATCATTTCTCTAACTGATTTTGATTTATGAGGAAGTCATAAGAATTGTACGCCCAAAAATCTCTTAATTCATAGTTTCTTCACAGTCACGTTTACAACTAACGTGATTCACACCAATAAAATAAAATAAATCAGTTAAATTATATGAAATGAAAGGACAGTATTATTTATTATGAACCAATCGTATTTTATTAGCTCAAGTATAATAGTCCAGGGTAAGCAAAGAGTGAAATCTATGTTGTTGTTGTTTTTGTTTACTTTTTGTACGCATACTTTGTGCTATGCATGTGATTAATCCTCAAAGTGCTTCCACCATAACCACCTTAAATAATCTTCACTAAGTATTATGTAAAATAATTTAAAAAATAGCCATTAAATATTTAAGTTGTATTGATTATATTTTGCTACTGGAATGTTCAGTGTCTGTGGATATGTCGGTTCCTGGCATGGTGGCTTCGATGACGTCCGACTGTTATTATTATTGTTCCCTTGGGTTCCGAGTAGAACATAAGGCTTCAACAACACACACACACACACCCTTACTTTATGGTATTCCTTCTGGTCCTGTTTAGCTGTTCCTGTAATTGCCCATAGGCTGTAATCTCCTTCAAGTTACCCTCGGAGGTCCAAATCTTCTTTTCCCATTTGGGTTCCATTCGAACGATGGCCTGGCGCGCGACGTCATTCGACGGTCTCCTCAGCGTGTGTCTAATCTATCTCCATTTTCTTCTGCATATTTGTTGAGCAATCAGCACTTAGTTTCTTATTACTAATACTTTCCAGCTGACCTTTTGACAGTCATTGTGGGGTGAAGGAGGCTGTTCATGGAAGTCTGCAGCAGGATATTGAGAATGCTTTTTGTGACACGTTCGCCAACTTTTAGATTCATATATAAGAACTCACTCTCCTTAGTGGAGCATGGGGTTCAAGCTAGATGCTTGGAATTTCAGTAGCAGTGGTGTTTACTTTTATGGGATGAGGTTGCTGCTTGCCTCATGTCCAACCTCCCCTCTTTACCAGTCTTATTACTGGATTCGCTAGGTAAAGGAGTGCATCAGTGGCTGGGGATCGAACGTCGCACCACATGAGGCGTGGTTGGTGAGCATTCTACCTCTGCGCACTTTCCTACCTACTTCCTGATTAATTAATAAGCTTCAAAGCTTCTCTTATATGCCTCACTTCTTGTCTTAGATTTTCCTTGGTACTACTTAGTAGTTTCTGTGTGATGAGTCCTGCCTAAAACTAGTGAAAAGGCCATCCAATGCAACATCATCAATGATGGTAAACAGTGTAAGCTGATGAATAATAATTGAAAAAGGATGTAAATCCGCAAAAAATATTCTTTATCGTAACTTCATTTCAAAGTTTTACACAGGTGAAGAGAGTTTCTAAAACGCCATGGAAATGTCAATAAAAGTCATTGATGAATATCAGTCACTTAGTGAAATTATACATCAGGAAAAATAATGTATAAATTACAAAACTTAGTGAAGTAGCCTTATGTAATCTAAGAAAATACTAATTGATGAATAGCTCTCAGAAAAGATTGCGGGAAACACTTGGAAACAGGATGAATATTGTTCATAAGTGTAAGAGATTCAGAATATATCTACGAGGCATCTTTTACAGTTAGGAGCTTAAAGGTGAGTAAACAATAGACACCAAAGTCAAATGACCTTGAACCGACCAATCAGGTCGTTCATCATTCATAATGATTGCTGTTCATGAACTTCGTTGCAAGTTCCACCCAGATGTGGTTTTTGACATCTGTATGGAAAATGGGTTGATAGGGTGGTCTGAAACCTGCATATGCGGAGGGATAATGACGCTACAAAAGTATTGCCGGGCTATTGACGGCTACGCATTCAGATGCAACCACTGTTATATGAGGAAGTCTGTGCGAGTTGGTTGATGATTTTTAGATACTTTCTTCTCCAAATCGAAACTGTCCCTTAGTAAAATATTGCGTATATGCCACAACTGACTACTAAAGCGACCAGTATCTTCTACAGCTGCAGAAACGGAGAATACAAAGATTTCAACAGTGCAGTGGTATCAGTACTGCCGTGATATTGCGTCACAAAAGCTAAATGGAATCATCTCTGTACTTGAGGGAGTTGGCGTCATCATACATATTGACGAAACGGTACTTATTAAGCGAAAAATGATGAATCGTGGCAGGAGTAGAGTAAATCATGGGACTTTACGCATCCCGAACAGAAGTGCTGATATCTTAATACCAATTATACAACGACTAGTCCTCCCAGGAACTACTACCATTCACACAGGCGAATGGAGAGGTTATTCTCAATTATCATCACTAGGCTTTATTCACCACAAAGTCAACCATTCTTCTGAATTGGTAGATCCTGTAACAGGAACACATACAAATTCCACTGAAGGATTATGAGCTCATCTCAAGAAACTTATCAGAATGGTAAATGGTTCCCGAAATGATATGGTATATAGCCATTTAGATGAGCTTTTGTATCGACATTAGTTTAATATGTCTATAACCACTCCTATGCGAAACTGGGACCAGTTTCTGCGGCATATTAGAGATATTTATCTTGTATAATTCATTTTTATTACATATATATATTATAAATACACTTTTTAAATAATTTTATGCCACTTTTTAACTGAAAGAATCTGATTGGTTGTTTCAAGGTCGTCTGTAATTGTACAAGTTGAAAGCCGCGGTAGTAAACGCAATTGAATAAACCGCTTCTGTACACACACTCACAATTGATGCGTTTAAACAAACAAGCAAACATTTATTTTATCTTCTTTTTCTTCCTTCTATCCGTGTTTCTTTAGATTATTATGATCGTACAGCGAATCCTCCACCAAGTTTTGTAAATCCTAATCCATGGATCAATCCAGCAGAGACAACATCAGTGAATATGACAAGAGACATGAATGAAAGGCTGGAGTATACACCAAATGGAGGCTTACTAATAAAGAAAAGAACATCTTCTAAAACAACTACAACAACTACTACGACTTATACGGTATAAATAAATATGGACAACTATTCAGTTTATTCAATATTAATATAAAGGCATAATGAATACGTGTACATTGACTGAAACTATTCACACTTTTAACTGATTATAACAGTATTTATATGAGTATGAATATATGGATTATAAGGCAGTGTGTGATTGAGTGGAACCGAAATAAAAACGATTGGATAGTTATGATTATATATATAACATAGAAAGACGGTTAGAAACTTGAATTATTCTGCGTAATTTTATTGAATAATTGAAATAAAATTGGAATTTAATTGACAACAAATGTTGTATATGTTTGTTCTGTGCGATTGGATTGATTGCCCGGGGTTGGCTTACTAGTTCCACGTGGAACTTTTCCTTTTTTTATCCGAGATTAGGACCGACCAGTAAATTAGGCTAGGATTTTCAATACTGATGACAAGTTAGTCAGTGCTTCTATATAGTATAGAGATCTCAGCAGAAACCGACTGTGCAACAAATATGCAGGAAGAAATGGAGGTGGATTGGCTGGCCATACTCTGAGAAAACAAACCATCTCAAGTGAGTGATATCACACACCGGGCCATCGCTCCAGTGGAACCTGAATGGGAAGCGGTAAGTCGGTCGTCAGTTTTAGGGTGACATGGAGGAGGTCATGTGAAGAGGAGATGAAACCACGTAGGCAGACGTGGAGCCAGGTGAAAACGTTGGCGGAGAACCGAACGCAATGGAGATGTGCGGCTGAAGCCCTATGTTCCTCTAGGAACCAAAGGAGACAATAATAACAATAACAAAGAGTGAATGTATCTGTGCCATTGAGAACAATTTTGAGCCATGTACAAAGTCTCCAGCCTTTGGTTCTTACGACTCCAAGTAACCTTGTCGGGCAGACTACATCTCCTTACGTGACTGGCTGAAACCAACTGTCACAGACTTTATGGATTGATTGTAGGTTTTGGTTTGACAACTCCTATTTGTATGTCAGCTAACACTGCTTGTTGAGGAAGGTGGCGCTTTGACATGCACAACATGTGTCTTAACCACTTCAATCAATGTAGCTTAAAAGCCTCATTTATTGACTTCTCTTCCTTACCTAACACATTCTAGGCCTAACCTTAATATCACTCACAGAATGCAAACATCTGTTTTCAAAGACAGCTAGCCGGCTTTTTCATATTTTCCTCTTTCAGTGGTCATATCTCACAGCCATAAAATGGAAGAAAGCGAACTACAGGACAGTACACATGTCCTGTGATCGATAGCTGGACATCAAGTCTACGCTAGAGATGACGTAAGTCGGAAAATACGCCATGAGCACCATGTTTATCCGTGTTGAGTTTTCGTCAGCAATGAATCCATTCAGAGTTGATTCGACCTCCCGGAACTGTGACTAGTTTCTTTGAAGTCACTTACTCAAAACAGATCTTTTGTGTTCCAGACTAAAAGTCACACTTATCAGGCTGTATTAAGTGGAGCAGGTCTCGAACTCGGGACCAAGTTGCTGTAACTGTTACTCAATAACGGAGGTGCTATTGACCTAAATTTCTACAGTTTACTATTCATTATGAGTGGTGATTCTCCAGGGAAGTTAATTACTTGCTGACAGACTTGTTCTTGTCAAGCCTAGAAGTGAGTACATTGTGACACTACATAAAACACAAAATAATTGAGCCAGCAAAGAATATCCTTTTCGATAATTTCCTCTTCTGGCTCTACAATTATACACATATATATGTTTATATACATAGAATATTCTAGATTAGTAGTCAATAACAATATTAGTGTTTTTTAAATAATATCGATTTGTAAAGTAAGATCACAGTGGAATTACCACAGTTCATTAAAGATGCTTAAATTATAATAATCATAATAAAAATGTAATAGCAAATAGAATATCAACTAAAATTAGGAAATTTCCACAAAAAGTTGAGGATCATTAGAACCTAGATGGCCAAGGTAAGGATAATGTCTGAACTAACTTCTTTTGGACGCATAAATTAGGCTTGTTAATATGGATCCCAACAGCCAGCCTGAGCAATATTTAGTAGTCGAACTCTTAAGGCGAAATTGAGATTCGTAGGTATGCGGTAAATGACCCTGAAAGCATGATTAACGTCAATCTTGTGTTCTGTATCCACAAGATGAGATAGAATAGCGCTGCGAATAGATTTTGTTTGTCCTTTACTTAACCAACCACGCAGGGTGATGTTCGGAAATCCAACGAGAAACACGCCTTACTGTACGGCCTATGTAACTGCAATTAACTTGGTTCACAGAAGATAATAGGTTGTGAGTGAAATGGTTAACCAGAAAAGTTTATTGAGATAAGAAAATGAATCTAAAATCAAAGCAGCCCAAAGTACCAACAGTTCCAAAAAAGGCCTTATTCTTACAAATGCAGTTCCTTGGGGATAACATCAGCGAGATACTAACACAGTGCCTTAGAAATGCGGTAAAAAGACCATTCCCAACTGCCTGTGTCTTCAAAACCACTCCTCTTTTGCGTTCAGGAGTAAAAGACAAACTGCCTAATTTCGCCTCTTCCATGTGTATCTACCAATTTAACTGCTCCTGTGAGGAGCCAGTTACATAGGCCGTAGAATTAGGCGTGTTTCTCGTCGGATTTCCGAACATCACCCTGTGTGGTTGGTTAAGTAAAGGACAAACAAAATCTATTCGCAGCGCTATTCTATCTCATCTTGTGGATACAGAACACAAGATTGACGTTAACCATGCTTTCAGGGTCATTTACCGCATACCAACAAATCTTAACTTCGCCTTAAGAGTTCGACTACTAAATATTGCTGAGGCTGGCTGTTGGGATCCACATTAAGAAGCCTAATTTATGTGTCCAAAAGAAGTTAGTTCAGACATTATCCTTAACTTGGCCATCTAGGTTCGAATGATCCTCAATTTGTTGTGGAATTTTCCTAATTTTAGTTGATATTCTATTTGCTATTATATTTTTATTATTATTATTTAAGCATCTTTAATGAACTGTGATCTTACTTTACAAATCGATATTATTTAAAAAAAACACTAATATTGTTATTGACTACTAATCTAGAATATTCTATGTATATAAACACATATATGTGTATAATTGTAGAGCCAGAAGAGGAAATTATCGAAAAGGATATTCTTTGCTGGCTCAATTATTTTGTGTTTTATAGATGTCTGAATGAATATTTTTGTTATATAAAATAGACAGAATTATATCTAAGATATATTGGTAGTATTTTTATTGTCTGTGAAAGTAAATTATAGGCGGAAGATATATTGATGACAGTGATATAGAAATCAAGTCTGAAGTTAAGTATCTTGGATTAATTCTTTCTTCTGACCTATCCTGGTCTTCCCATGTCTTAGCGATTTCTAAAAGAATATTTCGTCTGACTTTTTACATTAAGGAGTTAAGGCACTCAGGCATAACTCAACCAACCCCTCATCTTACAGTTTGTCAACTCGTGCATCTTACCTATTCTTCTTTACTGTTCACCCTTATTCTTTCCTGGATTGCTTGAAAAAAGACTATGTCATACTTCGTAGAACTCTGAAGACTGTCAGCCAGTAGGGCGAGTGGTATCCCATTGGGCCATATCGTTGACATCGTCATTATCGATAGGCACTTGATGTCATGCAACAAATTTGCTAAAGGAATTTTGTCAGACTGTGAGCATCCACTCTACCCGCAGCTCCAACCTTGTGTCTCCTCAGGTAAAACAAGAAGTCTTTTCAGAAGACTTTATGCACGTACGTCTAAGTATAAAAATTCCACTATACCATATTTGGCACGTATTTTATGTGATGAAAATAGTGTCACGCATGAACTAACTAACTAACCTTCTTTGCACTAGTAAATAAACCATTTTCTCCACTCTTACAACATCAACCTTTATTGTTATTGTACTTCTTATATTTATAATCCTCTCAATTTTTTGTTTTTATTTATTTATTTTTTCATAAGTGTAAACATCATTTAAGCTATGTTATAACTGTTATTTTTTGTATTTCCCCTCACCATACTATATCAAGAGAACATTAGATTCAATAATCTATAACATGCTAAAATTTTCAAACTGAATCGACAATACTGTTTGAAACAAACTTACTGTTATTATTATTCTCATTTTGTACTTCGAATATTTTTGACTTTATTCCTACTGTAAACGTGGACAAATTCCTCTGGTTAATTTTATTTATATTTTGAGTAAATCAGATGCAAAATATTGTGACAAATGCTGAGAATTCCATTCTGTATTATAATTAGTGCTGTTTTTGGAATAAAGTACAGTATTATTATTAAATATTAACTTCACAATAGAACACGGGTAGAACTGATACGATTAGATTTTCTAGATACTTCTCTGGTGTAAACGATTGATGACATAATAAGATCTATATTGAATTAGTTGTTTACAAAACCGACGAAAGCTTCGCAGTTATATCAGCCAGTTCTCAGAGAACACAACTCTTTCAATATGATCCACCTGAGCTACAAATCTTCTACATTATTTCAAAATCTTACGAGCGTGATACGCTTCTATCTTGTTAGATGGTTGGAGGCAGTTGGCAGGAAGCCCCGCCTGACCTAGGTTTCGTGCTTGTCGGCACTCACCAGTAGTCACTAAGGCGCATTTGCAGTCACCTTGAAGGAACTCATTTCACCCGTCTGAGATTCGAACCCGTGTCACTCAGTGCTATCTGCAGTCAGAGACGTGAACACCACTGAGCTATTCGGTCTTGCGATTGACCTCCTGTAGGACTGTATTAGACTGCAGCACTGGGTGACACGGGTTCGAATCTCAGACGGGTGACATGAGTTCCTTCAAGGTGACCGCAGATACGTCTTGCTGACTGGTGAGTGCCAACTAGCACGAAACCTAGGTGGAAAGCACCCTGCCGATTGCCTGCAACCACCTAATAACAACAATTCTAAGTGCAGCGTGATGGCGAGCCACCTAGTGGCATGCTGGTCACATTGCAAAACTTGACTGAGATAATTCAGTCTGCATTATGGATAAATTTTATTTTGATAAAGTCTCACAGTGTTATACAGTAATATTTACTGATGACAACGTTTCGAGAACAATTTATTACTGTTCATAATCATGTCAAGGCACTACTTACACAACTTTCTAACTTCGTTTATATAATTCCATCATATTTTTCATCGCTTGATTTGATTGGTAGTAGTATTTTCCATATTTCCGGTATGAGTGGTGAATCATTCTTATTGCATGCGTTGTGTTGGGTATAGACTCGATGAACAAGGATTCAGTAATCAACCTAATCAACATAAGAATTTAGCTAAGTTTAGAATGACTGACCCCACCCGGGAAGATAAGTAATTTAGAAAAAAGCTCAGCATCTGCACTGCATGCATTAACACACAACCACACAATACAGTGGGCGGGAAAGGGTTAAAATTCTGAACAGTAATATGGGTAGGTGGAGAGAGAGACAGAGGTTGACTGCTGAATCCTTGTTCATCGAGTCTACACCCAACACAACACAAGCACTAGGAATGACTTATCACTCATACCGGAAATATGGAAAACACTACTAGAGGAGGGGTGTGATAAGACAGGCATACGTTAGACCAACAAGAACAGTCTAGAAGATCTGAACTTTGAAGATTATTTATGTCTAGTGTCACACAAAGTCGAAGATCTCAACGACGAAAACCAACAAGTTGACAGAAGAGCCAGTCAGGTATAGCGGGGAGATGATTTCAAGTGGAGATAGAGAAGACAGAGATACCGCACAACCAACAATAACAACAAGTACCAAACACGAAAAAACGGGAGAAATCTGATGGAAGTCACATCAACTACAGACAGGTTGCGTGGTTGAGGAAAAGCAAGGCAGAACTTCATCAATCCAAGATCAGTGTGAAGAACTACTGCAGGAGTCAACATAGGGAACGCCAACGCCAATGTCAAGTAAATCACTGTTTCTACATGCTTCAGATATTTGACGTGTCACCGAAAGTAGACTTTCATCAACATCCGCGCCTTCGTTCCACCATACTGTAGGTCAACTGGTCGGCCTGAAAAGATAAGCAGCAGGGGAACCTATCGACCAACCAACCAATAATCTATCCCCCAACAAAACTGCACACACTGAGGACAACTGTTGGATGACATCATGCGTCAGACAGTCCCTCTGAGTGGAACCCGAATAGGAAACGACAAGTCGGGCTCCCAATTGGAGGATGACATGGAGGAGAGCGTGAGAGGAGGAACAATCGTGGAGTCGACGACAGAGAACACGATGAAGTGGAGATGTGTTGACACTGATTTCTCTCTCTAGACAACTATTCTTGTCTTCAACTTTATTTCTAAAATATCCGAGACTAATGTAAGGTATAAACGCATGTTATCCATGGATGTATCGTCACTATTCACTAATGTACCGCTTATGAAAACAGTAGATTACATTTGTCAAGAAATCACCGAAAGGCAATTGGACTTAGGAATCCTCTTGTGTAGCCTCAAAGAATTACTTCTCAAATGCACAATGAATGTTCACTTGTCTTCAACAATTCATACTACCGACAAGTAGATGGAATAGCTATGGGTTCACCATTAGGCCCAATATTAGCTGACTTTATTCTCGCAAAACTTGAAAACGGGAAATTGAAAGACATCATCAAGGAGTTTGATATGCATTACGGATATGTCGATGATACATTTATCTTAGTTGATGGGAATGTAAACATAGACGAATTGTTGCTGAAATTCAACAACGTCCACCCTTCACTTACTTTTACTTATGAAGAGGAGCAAGCAGGATAGTAAACTACATTTTCTGGATGTCTTGCTAAGTAGGAGAGAAGATGGGTCACTTGGGAGAAGCGTGTATAGAAAAAGCACATTCACAGGGCAATACACACACTTCCTTAGTTACGTGCCCATTAAATATAAAAGAAATGTTGTTAAATGTCTTACGAGCAGAGCAAGAAAGATATGTACGGATGACCACTAAAGGAATTTGAATATATTCACGATTCCTTGACGGAGATGGGCTATCCGAGTAGTTTCATACAGAAACATATGAAAACCTGAGACTCTGACTGCACGTAAAGAAACCTCTATTTATTAAGTTACAATTTAATGGGGACTTATCAAGTGAGATTTTATTCCAGAGACTTTCCAGGAGTATACGGAGAACGTTTTACGCAGCATACCTATGTTTGTCATTCTCTAGCCGACGAATGATTGGGACGCAAACGAAGGATAAGCCACATCTATGTGAATTTATCAATCCAACTGCACCTGAGGTGACAGTTATGTTGGGCGTACTACTACTAGACAGCTTAACCAACGTGTCACTACTGAACATCTCCCATCATGGTTTGACAAAGGACAGACAAAAACAATCCGTAGCTCAATTTTGTCACATTTAATTGATAGTGGTTATGTAGTGGAGAAAACAAGAGCTTTCAAAGTAATTCATCGTATCCCACCGAATCTTTCCAATAGACTTCGTATTCGTCTACTGCACACAGCTGAGGCAGACGATAGGCATTCGAACTATTAAGCCTAAACTATGCATTCAACAGAAGTTCGTACAACCATTATCCCTCCCTTGTTGGCCTATTAACACCTAACCAACTGATGACTTCTCCACCACCCCTTACTTATATTTTCAACCCCTTTCTTATCACATCTTCATTAAAAACGTGTTTCATTTACTTCCCTAACAATCTAGCATTACTTAATCGGTTCATTTGTTTTTCTTAGCCTTTATCGACTACTATGTCTACCTGAACATTTGTTTGTTTAATCATGCTGTTTTTCATTTTTCGTGTTATCACGGATTGCCTCACTTCTTCATCCTTATTATAGATAAAACCATTATTATTATTATCCTTACTACTAATATGACTAATTGCACAATTTATATTCACCATCTTATTATCCTATAGACAAAACACCATGGATTGGTTTATATTTGAATTTTTATCTGTAAAGTTATGTGGGTATATAAGAGTTAAGCCTGATGAGATCTAATTGAAACCACAATTTCATACATTTATTCCCCTTAATGAATTTGAACAAAGCAACAACTACAGTTTTAGCAGAATAAAATGGTACCATCATTGTTTATTTTGTTGCCTTCTCGTCAGCTGCTTACAGGCCAAACACATTATTAAATGTATCTACAAAAAACAATTTTAACATACTTGCACAGAGTTCATTTTAAACAAAAATCAATCGATCAATAGACGCATACACTAATAATATATACAATGAAAACTTTTCAGCATCTCGCATTCGGATGAAAAATATCCAGTTACTAGTCAGCGCAAAGAAAGACTGATAACCACTTCTTTCTGAACGCACAAATCAGGTTTTAGGCGCTTGATGGAAATGGCTTCAGCAAACTTAAGGAGAATTGGTCGGTCGGTTTTCGACATAGAACTTTGCACATATGTGCGGCAGTTCAAGTCGCCACACCCTCCATGTAGCACACAAAGCGAGAGAAGAAATGCATAATAAAGACAGTAAACAGAGGTGTGAGACAAAGGAATAGTAATAACGGAGAACAAACCAGTTTCACTGGAAATCATAAGTCACAAGGAGTGGATGCATCTGCACCAGCCATTGAGAACGATTTTGAGCCATGTCACCAATTGTTTCCAACCATTGGCTTTTACCGTCCCGAGGACCCCAATCAGGAAGTCTACACCTTCCTACGCGAATGGCTTCAACTAACTGTTGTGGATTTCATTGACTGGTGCCATGTTTTCGTTTGACCACCGCTAGCTCTTTTCCAGCCTGGCCCTATATCAGCTAACATTGCCCTTCGTCGAGGAATGTAATGGCTAGGCATACGTAACACATGTCCTAACCATCTCAGTCGATGTAATTTCACAGTCTCGTCGATTGATTTCCCCGCCTTACCTAGCACTCGACGCCGAACCTCACCTTATTATACCACTTCACGCGGGAGATAGAACGCAGACATCTATGATCAAAGACAGCTAATCTTTTCATGTCTTCCACTTTCAATGGCCAGGTCTCACAGCCATAAAGGAGGACGGGGCGAACTGCTGAGCAGTACACCCGCCCTTTGGTCGACAACCAGCCGGATATCACATCTACGTAAATGACGGCGTAAACTGGCATATGTGAACCTAGCCCTCTGTATTCGTGCTGAGATTTCGTCGGAGATCAACCCATTCCTCCTCCTTGAATGAGGAGAATTGAGCTCTTTTGCTCATTGATAATTTTGAACGACTTTTCGACATCCACCTCATGACCCGTGCCTGGCGATGGCACAATATTGTTCGCTTAAATGATGTATTGGAAAATAACCAATTGTTTTCACAAATGTTTGTATTGTAAACCACAATATACACTTTTATACAGTATTTATATTATACAATAATAATAAAAATAATAATAAAATAAATAGGAACAAAAGTATATTGATAAGTGGGAGTGGATAACTAACTAACTAACTAAGTAAGTAATCAAATGACTAACAGCCAAATAGAGTAAACTTCTGTCATTAACCGCTGCCTTTTGCATGTGTGCGCGTCAGTGTGTGTGTGCGTGTGAGTAGGTGGGTGAGTGCAAGGAGTTGCAAAAATGAAAGCACAAATATATGTGTGTGTGTAATGTGTATTGAGGTGGGGTGGAGTGGAGTGGGATATGAATAACTAGGGTTAGGCATTCATTCATTCCTTCATTGATCCACTAGCTGATCTGTGATCGTGATCATCAAACCAGTAGTAGTGAGTGATCTGTTAAAAAGATAAAATGAATTGTATTCATTATTTATTTATAGTGGTGCAACTGTTATCTTTGGAGTGAAACTTTTCACACGAACAAAACGACACGGAGGGAAATGTTGATTCGATAGCTCAAGGACAGTTGTATTCTCATTTTGACTAGATCTTGGTAAGGAGAAGAGGAAGAAAAAATAGAGCACAATGGAGTAATAATAATAATAATAATCCATGATCAAAGTTGAAACAATTTAAACCCCTACAAACTGATTCTTAAAGATTAATCTGGTGCAGGTCAGTGGCACAACGGTTAGGACCCTCGCCGACTATGCACACATGGTTCGGGGTTCGATTCCCGGCAACTGACGCACTCCTTTACCTAGCTAACAACCACATCTTGTAAAAATAAACACCCCTGCTACAGAAACTTCAAGCATCTAGCTTGAAGGATGAAGTTGCCTGGAGTTCTAGCATGAGAAGTCGTAACCAGTGGGGATCCACCAAGTCGGGTATGAGGACAAATACTCACCAGCGATGACATTGTTTAGTAGTGATGCTAAAATCACGGAATCGGTAGAAGTTGGAGTTCATGGGCTAGTTATTGGATCGGATACCAGTGAGTGAATGCTCTACAAGATTTCCTTGTAACCAGAAGATCCTGCGTTCCAATCCTAGAGGTGTCGGTGCGCACTGACGAAGAGTCCCAAAACAAAGAGGACGAAACAGCTGTCCAGTACTCCTTTCTAATTGTTCTCTAACTGACATCAATCCGTAATCAAACCTGGGACAGATCAAACCCCTATAAACTGACTCTTGAAAATAATAACACGAATAACATTTACAAGAATAAATATAATTTAATCATTATTTCGGATCACGGACTGAACAAAATCAGTTAGAGAACCATTGAAAACCAGTACTGGGGTACTGGACAAGTGTTTCGTCCCACTTTGGAACTCTTTATCAGTATGCGATCATGACTCCACTCAGGTTGTGCAAGTTACAAGGTCAGCTCTTTGACCAGTCGTCAGCCACTGGGGACGAAATCCAATGTCCAAAGTCTAAATTGTGCCAATTACCAGTATAAAGCGCAGTCGCCACCCTATATCATCTGTCGACTCTACATCTTAGAGTTACAAATACACATCCAGTGATAAAAACCTATGATGTATATCGTCAAACTAACCAATACAACGTTAAATTATTCAGGATTTCACAACAAACAGTAGTGGGATTGGTCTCTTCACTATAACCCTAAATGGTATACAATTCTCTTTTTCTAGCGCATCTTATATTTCAGGGATTTTCTAATGGTTGTATAAATTTCACGCGCTAAGTAATGCGTTAAAAATTGCGCTTTAAAAGTTAACAGGTGATAGACTCTCACGGATAAACAAACTAAAAAGACATTGAAAATATTGAGTAAACACGATGATCATCCGAAAGTCTTTGATTAGGCAATAAACGCATCAAAATTTATATTGCGTCGGTGGCACAGTGGTTAGGACTCTCGCCGACCATGTACATGGTCCGGGGTTCGATCCCCTGCCGACACACACCCGATATTTATGGTCGGCCTGCAAAATTTGGGCTCCTGATATCCATGCTGAAAATTCCATACTTGTACTGAAAAATACGGTGTAGAATCAAGCTGTAATCAAAATAAAATAATAATAAATAGAACACGATGTAAAGCAAGCAAATACGTATTTCCAGTCTGATTATGGATTGAAAACCTGCTTGAAGTACTGCACAGATGTTTCGTCCTAATTTGGGACTCATCACTAGGACGAAAAAACTGTCCCAGTATTCCCAGCTGGTTCTCCGAAGGGACAAACTTGAAACAAAGCAAATCCCTACGAAATGAACTTTCGATAAATTCTCATCCGGCTTTACAATTTTGTTTTTATTCCTTTACGTTCCCCCTTTCCTCAGTGGAACATAAGGCTTCAAGCTAGAGGCTCGAAATTTTGGTAGCAGTGATGTTTATTTTTAGGGGACGGGGTTGCTAGCCTCATGGTCAACCTTCCCTCTTTGCCGGTTCTACTGCCGGCTAAGCGATGTAAAGCAGTGCGTCAGTGGTGGCGGATCGAACCTCAAACCACATGCGTGATCGACGAGCGTTCTATCGTTGTGCCACCGACAAGCTTTGCAGTTACATGATAAAATATCGGTTATACATATTTGAAACAATTCAGATCAGTAGAATCAAGGGTAATGTAAGCAGAGCAGTAATAATAATACTAATAATAATAATTGGTGAAACTAAGATTAAAGTATGCTGCTATAGCACAGTGTGATATTGATAATGAAGTTAGCAGTACCAACAAAACTAATATTCACAGTTGCAAATGAACGTGAACATTAAAGGTTGGTTCATTGGCCTTGGTCGCCATTGGTGGGCAACTAGAAGGTGCGAATGGTTCAATCGTGTACAAGTTGGAAGAAGACGAAAGAATACGAATAAAAGTACAGCACATTCCTTGTAAAACATTTGTTTACAGACTCTTGTACGATAAAGATTTTAACTGTCAAACAATACAATTTCTTTCTTACAAGTCCTTGTGTTTTGGAGTTAAAGTTGACAATCGTTCACAGTAATTATCGATTCGGAGCGTCTTTGCGAATAATAGGAACTTAGGGTTAAGTTCCTTAACAACAGTTATCCGCTGTCATCGGGATAACTATTCTAAGTAGGGGTTGAAGGCTATTCGAGGGAAAGGGATAAAACAAACTTTCTCTGAACACAGAGATGCGACTGGAAATTTCTTATGGAGACTGCCTCAGATATATTTCATAATCGAAGCCGAATAAACTTAGAGAACGGATGCGGCTCTGTAAAGAAGAAAAGACCTATAAGGCTTGACGGAATGTTTATTAGGACAAACGGATTGTGGGCATATAAATTTGGAATATCTTATCATTAAGTCTTTATTTGTGCATCGTTTGCAAATTGGTCGAATATTACCACAGTCGATAGCTTGTTGGATTCTGCACAGTGTTGGTAACGTTCTTCTTACAGTTCTCTTCTTCGATTGCCTTTTCCTAGTGTCCAAAACATATTGTTACTTTTCAAACTAAGAAGTATGTAGGTGGCAAGTATGGAGTTCCCTGCTGACGAACCGACAACGGTGATCGTTTTCTACAGTTCTGCCGAAATAATCATCTGTTTCTAGTCAGCATTAACTTTAGGCACAAAGAGAGACATTGTGTAACCTGGCGACCTCCATCACCAAATCAGCGTTGGACTCAGACAGACCACATAGCGATAGGGTATCGTTAGCGAGGGTCGGTAGAAGACTGCCGATCCTTTTGGAACATGTGCGTAGACTCTGATCACGCCCTGGTTCGCGCACATTTATGCCTACGACTAAACGAGGCAGTTACATCCCTAACTAGATCGAGACACTGAGTCCTTATTTAAGGAAGAAATAGCGAAACGAGTACCTGAGGTCAACAGCAGGACTCCTCCTGAGGTAGCCTGACACAGCATACAGTTAGTTGTAGACACAGTTGTAAAAGCTGTTAATAACCTGTAACCAAAAGTTAGTAAGAGCCAGTAGATTTCTACTACCTCATCCTAACTGATCGACGTGAGAAGAGTGATTCCGGCGAGCTCCGAATACAATGAGGAGCGAAAGCTACTCAAACGCAAAAAAACAAGTCTTCGCAACGACTGTGAACAATGGTGATGTGCGACAAAAGTGAAAGAGATGCGGAAGGTATCGATTGGTAACACCAGACAATTATTCAGACTTATCACGGAAACAGGTGATAGAAGATAAGAGATAAGTGAAACAATCTCTGAGAAAAATGGCACAACAATTGGCTCTCAGGATAGACGACTGGGGATGTTGGGAAGAATACTTTGAGGAGCAAATTAATTGGCCTACAGCCACCCTCAACTTACATAGCATCCAACACCCCCTGAATGGGATATAAACACAGGTCCACCGTCCCTAACTGAGGTTACAAAGTCTGTCACTAGTCTGAAACGAGGCAAAGCTGCGGGACCTGATGGAATGACTCCAGAGGTATTTAAGTACGGTGGAGACAGTTTACTGTCTGCATTAACTGAGGTTCTAGGCAGCGTCTGGAAATCAGAGGAAGTCCCATCGGGTTGGTGTAAGTCACTGATCATCCCGATATACAAGAAGGGAGACAAGTCTTCCTGTGATAATCACAGGGGGATTAGCTTGACTAATATGATAGCTAAAGTTGTAGGCTCAGTAATCATGCGTAGATTAGGCGGTGCTCAGGAGAAATAAACACGAGAAAATCAGGCAGCCTTTAGATCAGGAAGAGGGTGTATGGATCATATCTTCACCCTTTGACAGATTCCGGAACATAGACATACTTACAGGCGTCCAACAATCGTTATATTTCTTGGCCTGAAAGCGGTATTCGATTCCGTCGACTGAGAGGTACTATGTCGATGTTTTGGCTGTGAAGGAAATGCCGATAAAATAAATTGCACTGATCAAGGCACTCTACTCCAACTCATGTAGCTAGCCAGGTGAGAGGCTGCGGAGAGTTGTCATCTGAAGTGGTGACGACTACTGTTGTCCTTCAGGGATGCCAAGAAAGATTTCGCTACCAAGTCTCTTGTCTTCCCCGATTACATTTGGTGTCATTGCCTCCAGATAATGAAGATCCCATGGTCTGCTTCTTTCGAAGAAAGATACATAAGGAGCTTTTTGCCAGACGCAGTCGCTGAGTTGGTCGGCGTCAAGGATCTGAGGGAGGTTGTGCTGGGCACGCTTCTGACAGGTTGGCCAAAAGCAGCCTACAACGGAGTGCAGTGAGACAGGCCGACTGGGAGTTGTTGGTGAAACGGTGAGTGGCGGATTTCGACAGCTCGACGGACAGGCGGCAGCAGGCAGTGCAGCTATCCAGTACCACGAAGCTGTGTCCTGACGGAGACCTGTTAGTGGTGGGGCTGATGAATCTACTACGTCACGCACTCCCCACATCGGATGAAGAACCAGAGCCTCAGTTATTGACTTCTCAGTTCACCGAGAGTTTTCCAGACCGCATTTCTCAGTAACTGCAATTGGTTAACGCTGCACAACCCATGGACATTTCGTATTATTAATCTCTATAGCTAGGAGTAGTAATAGTGTGCCTTTAAGTAGATTGTTTAGTACTCGATATAAAACGGCAAATGAACGACTCATCTATTTCGACGCTGTGTTCACTATCCACTAGATGAGATAAAAATGGCACTATTTATTGATTTGGTTGCACTTTTTCCAAGCCAATCAGGAACATGTTCACAAGTGCGTGAAGATAAATCCCTCTCAGGAGTTCGACCTATATGAACAGTTCAATTCGCAAACACACGCATTGATGGTGTGGCCATCTTTGGTAATTTATCTTTAGTGTACTATATCAGTAACAGTTTGGTTGAGAAACTGATGTATAGTTCTGAAGCATTGAAAGTTCTTTCAATTGATGTGATCAACCTACGGCTTAATGTATCACTAGATATATCACCTTTGAACAGTACCCTTAAATAAAGCTTTTTCTTATTCACCGTGTCACGACGCTTAATTCTATTAGAAATATACTTCTTTACAAAACTCATAGGATAATCATTTTGTAGTAGGGTATTTTTAAGATTTTTGATGTCACCTTCCTTATACGTTGGAGGATTTCATCATGAGTTGACATCAGTTAGAGAACCATTGGAAAACCATCTGGGAGTACTGGACAGCTGTTTCGTCAGTCTAATTTGGGAATCTTCATCAGTACGCACCCACCTCATATGTATCGAATCTCACATCTATAGAATTGTTTATATACCAAAGTGTCATCTTTGCCAAGAATCAGCCTCAAAATCATAAATTCAATGAACTCACTTATCCACAGTATGAATAACATAAGAATTCCAGAGAAGGCGATTGTGTAAACGACCTTTGTTACTACAGATTTTAAATTTCTATAATATAAGAGAAAAAAACAATACAAGAAAATTATTATTCAGACTTCTTGAAGAAGTTGTCTAGGAAGATAACTAAACAATTCAGTTTAGAGAACACTAGTACACCGATATTATCCACTTACTTGAGCTACAAATCTTTTTTATCATTTCTAAACTAAAATAATCCAATTTGGGTAGGATTCCTTCAACAATCTACGTTAATGAAATCATTATTATTATTTTTATGAGTTGATCACGGATTGATATCAGTTAGAGAACCATTGAAAACCGGGGAGTAGTGGACAGCTTTTTCATCCTAGTTTGGGAATCATCAGCAGTACGCACCCACTCTTGAAAATTAATCTGATGCTTGCTAGTGACTTGTCACAGGATGGAATTTCCTGGAGTCCTTGTGAGAAGTCACGACCAGTGAGGTCCATCCAGTCAAGTGTGAGAATGGATGTCCCACCGACGACATTGGTTGGGGTCGCGATAAATCACGAATTGGTAGAAGTTAGAATTCATGGGATGGCCATTGAATCGGGTCCCAGTGGCTGAATGGTATACGAGCCAGCTTGCCTTGTAACCGGAAGGTCCTGGGTTCGAACCGTACTGCCAATAATCCCCAAACTAGGATGGAACAGTTGGCTGTCCAGTACTCCAGTGCTGGTTTTCAATGGTTCTCTAACTGATATCAATCTGTGATCAACTCGTAATCCTTACAAAATCAACTATAGAAAATTATTATTACTGCTACTTCGGGTTCCGAGTGGAACATAGGGCTTCAACAGGAAATCTCTACTCTGTCCTGTTGTCTGTGGTCCGCTTTAGTTGGCCCCACGATTTCCAATAGTCTCTCATCTCCCCCACGTCATCTTCGAAGCGATGCCCAACTCGTCGTTTCCTATTCGGGTTCCATTTCAGCGATGGCAAGGAGAGCGATGTCATTCTGTTACAGCAGAAGACAAGGGCCAGGCAACAGATCGTTTATTTAGGAAATCAACAGATATTTATAGATTTTCATGTACATTATTACAGATTATTGTAAGCAAACAAACAGTCTTCTGATTGGTGGTTTCTCACTGAACGTTAATCTTTCATCTCTTTGTGGCTGTTTCTTGAATGTCAGATCATCTATCTGTAAATTGTATCCGCCTACGCAGAGTCTGCTGTGACTAGTTGTTAAATTAGTCTTTTTTCTTATTTTTCTCATGACCAATATTGGGGACGTAAACAGTGACGTAAATTGCTATCTACCAATTTGGCTAGCAGCCAGCTCTCACCACAATTCGATGGTCCTATCCATCTCCATTTCCTTCGGCATATTTGTTAAGCAATAGAGTTTCTTGACTGCTTCGTTTCCAGACTCCCATGTTGATAATTCTTCCTCACCAGTCATTTGAACTTCAGTATGGAGCCAGCGAATTGGGCAGCTGTTGAAAAAAAGTCTGCGGTAGCCTGTTGGAAATGCTTTTCATGACGTCACTGGCCAAGTTTCCAACCCATTTAGAAGAACTGACTAACTTGACATTGGTGTTGAAAATCCGAATTTTGTACGTCAGTTGAAGATATCGCCAAGAATCAACATCAGTTAAAGAGGTAATTGAAAGCCAGATGGTAGTATTAAACAGTCGTTTCCTCCTAATTTGGGACTCTTCAGTAATAAGCACCCACGACCCTACCATGGACCAGCTCGTTGATGAAGCCAGCTGTCAGTTCGTGACATAGCCCTACCGTCGATCACTGACTGCCATTGTTGAGCATCCACTTCACACTGTTGTTACATAGTGGACTTCACCTCACTACTGGCCATGACTTCTCACTACAACATCACAACATCTATCCAGTAGCCACTAAAAGAGGGTTAGAAATGGCTACTTAGATTATGGATTTTGTAGGGATTTGGGCAAATTTAAACTATGATAGCCAAAATTAGGGTAACTCCAAACAACCAATCAGAATTCAGATGCAAAAAAGTCGAATAATCATTCAAAAATGCACTGAAAAAACATTGCAAACATGATATTTTACACTGTATAGTTGTCACTTATGTGTTGTAAGAATGTCTCCCAGTCACTATACAACACAGATGATCTGTAGAGAAATCATGCAATACGCGATAGATGCATGCATTTATCCAGGTAACTGTAAGTCATGGTACTTTGAGATCCATTGGTATTTCTGAAACTGTTCTTTAACCTATTCTTAGCTCTAACCTAATCCTAACCTTAACCCTAGATCCTAAACCTTAATCTTAGAAGCTATAATCCTACCTAACAGTATAGATTTACAGGAAAAAATACATAAAATACTGTATCTACCCTGCCCAAGTGCAAAAATGCAGGCATGATTTGATTTGGAATGACCTTTCATAGCATTCCCTGTTTCTGATTGACTCTTGAAGGTCAACTTCTGAAAGACCTTGACATTGGCTGTAATACTTCAACTTCACTGGGATTTGAATTAATTCCAGTGTAGATTTCGGATTCTAATCCAGTGGTCAAGAAGTTGGCCTCATAAACTAAGGATCGTGAATGCGTACTATTGAAGAGGTTCAAATTGGGACGAAACAACTATCCAATGTACTACATGCTTTTCAAGGAAGTTGATCCCTGAGGAAATCTACAATGAAATTAATCCAAGCCCCTTAGAAAATCGATAATTTAAATCACTAATACGTTTTACGGCTTCTAGAAATGTAACAGTGTGATCTGATTGGTGCTAAACATCAGCATTTAAAGGCATGTTTCATTTGACAGATCACACTGAAGGGTGAGGTGGGTGTGATTGGATGAATGGATAGGTGCCGTTGATTGTTTACAATGAGATGAAACAACAGTCATTAACCAAACAATTATCTGACTAATAGAAATAGTACTTTGTTTTGCAAAGTGTACCACGTGTCGCAATAGGGAACCAACCAATGATCTCAGCATATGCTTATCAGCAGATCTATCAACAACCTTTAAGTACAGAAAAGATTGTGAAACGACCAAAAAATCAATGGCAAAGTAAAATTCAGTTGCTTTTTCAAGAATTAGAAGAATGCAAAGGTGAATTGAAGCAACAAACGCAGATACAGACGCACACACACACACACACAGTGTAGTGGTACCATCAAGATGGTAAGCCAAAGGTATGTGGATGTGTATACTGGTCACTGAAATGCAAGTTATGCATTAATATCAGTATAGAATCACACAATTAGTACACTGTGGACACCCCGGAGTGATTATTATTATTATTGTTCCCTTGGGTTCCTAGTGGAACATAGGGCTTCAACTGCACGTCTCCACTTGCTTCTGTCTTCTGCTGTTCTTTTCACTTGCGTCCATGTTATTCCATACTGTTTCATCTCCGCCTCACACGATCTCCTCCATGTCACCCTTGGACGTCCCACTCGCCGCTTCCCTTTCGGGTTCCACTCGAGCAATGGCCTGACGCGCGATGTCACTCAACGGCCTCCTCAGCGAGTGTCCAATCCATCTCCACTTCCTCCTGCATATTTGTTGGGCGATTGGTTCCTGTTTCGTTTGTTCCCATAGCTTCTTGTTTGTGATTCTTTCCGGCCATCTAATCTTCAGTATGGAGCGATACACTGCACAAAATCTTATGGTTTTCCTGGACGCCCAAACCGAAGCAAGGGTGGTTGTCTTAAGGAGCCACACCTCCCTCACCCTCCCTGGAGCCTCTGATTTGAAGTCCGGTCCTGACAAAAGGCAGTGGAGCAGTGTTCCTATGATTGTTAGTGACCGAAACAGGAATCTACGGTCCATGTACACCATGGGTTTCGACTCAGGGTTTTCTAGCTCCCCGACATCTGCATGTTTACCAACCCGGTTCGGTTGTAAGTGGAACACCTCTGCTGCCGCGTGAAGGCAGTGAATGGCGTACACTTAGTGATCTTAAGGATGACAAAACTATTCTCTACGAAAAGGTGTTCTAGAATAATATTGTTCACATATGCACAGTCACAGTTATCCTGTGAGGGTTGATGATACTGCTACTACAGTTGCTCAAGCTGAAGTAGGCAGAGTGGAATTCGAACCCGAACCGAAGCCTACTACTTGAATGTCGAAAGCCTAAGTCAATAAGCCATAATCTCCACTTCCGAGTTGCCCCCCCCTCACTCACCGTCATAAACGACTGGGTATGGCCGAGGGTGGATAGGCTTTGGTCTTTAGATCGAAATTCCCTCATGTGGACACGCATTTATAAACTCTACAAAATATTCCTCAGAAGAGTGAAAGGGTGAATGCAAGCGTTTGGCATTTACAACCTTAATGGTGGAATATCCAGGTCTATCTAGGGGGAACTGGAAGACTAATTCCAAACCTATGGTGTACATTGGGGCTATAGAATCCAAAAGGATCAAATGGCGTATGAACTTGTTTTGGTCGTCGAGATCCATGGAAACACTACCCCGCTGCCTTGTTTCAGGATCAGACTTCAAATTAAAGGGCTTGGGACAGAGTTGGGTGGCCCTCTAAGACAACCACCCCCTGCTACTTTGGTCTGGATGTTCGCAAAGTATACCAGTCCTTGCACGAACTATGTGTTGTTATATGGCATATCTCATGGCGTCCATAATATACCAAGTTTGTGTTTTAGTCATAAATAATAATACTTTGAGTGTTTTTTTCCTTCACGTTCCTCAGTGGAACATAGGGCCTCAAGCTAGTGGCTTGAAGTTTCTGTAGCAGTGTTTATTTTACAGGATGGGGTTGCAAGCCTCACGCCCAACCTTTCCTCTTCACCAGCATTATTTCTGGAGTAGCGAGGTAAGGGAGTGCGTCAGTGGCCGGGGATCGAACCCCGGACCATGTGCATAGTCGGCGAGCGTCCTAACCGCTATGCCACCGACGCACATACTTTGAGTTAATACTCACTTACTTCAATCTAATAAATATTTAGGGACAGTACTGATTACAACTCATAAAAAGCTTATCTGCTCGATTTAACGGATGGTAATGATCTCATTGAATAGATTTACTTGTTTTGGCTGTAACTAGTGGGAGAACCAAGAGTGAACGTTTCGTCTTGTTTGAAACTCTTCAACAGGATATGCACATACCTGCTCTCTAGTGAGCTTTAGTGCTCCCATTGCGGTTAGAATCCAGGACACATAGTTTCAAATGCCAAGGAGTTATCCAATAGACCGCAAGAGTCACCCTGTTGTGTTTATAACTCCCCTTACATATATATATATCCGCAGAGTTATGCCTGACTATACCTCACTATGTGTCTCGGCGGTTCGATGGTAGAACCCGACAGATGGCTTCTACCTTAATTTTGTGGCCTGGCCCGCATATCTCAATGACCCAACAAGCTACACTGACTGGAACTAATGTTCCTGCAGGTTCTACCATACCACAGAAAGGTTGTTAGGATAGTGTAAGATGTTTACTGTGGAACAGGGATGTAACAGCAGTAAAGTATTTCCCTCAGATGACCAGCACGCCAGCCAGCTGTTCTATCTCTCCACTCTGAAGATAGGGGGTTAGAAAATATCGACCCCAAGGATTGTACACTCTGACTTACCCTACGGTGGTCCGTAGCCGGCGGTAAGTTACTAATACGGACACAACTCTAATAGCGAATTAAATCAGGCCGTAAGTGACTGGCCGCAAGCAGTTGTCCCTTGGGCTCTGCTCTGCGGTCACACAACACTAATTTTCTTTATGTTTTAGGTACGCTAAGAAAAAATCAGCTCCCACGGTATAGGCAGCCGCTCACACACCTCCAAAAGCACACGAAGCCTTGCTGATCATCACCCACCCATTTATCTTCGTCAGTCACTCAGTCAATGGTAGAATGCTAACTAGACACACAAAAGATCCGGGTTCAATTCCCGGTTGACACACTCGTAGTATGCTAGTCCATAGTAAGTTCAGGAGAGTGGGAAGTTTCGGGCGAAGAAATCAAAACCAGTGCTACTGAAACTTCAACTCATGAAGCCCTATGTTTCACTCATAACACAAAGAAATGAAGGAGAAAAAGCACAACCTACAATGGTGAATGTAACTGTCAGTTGTGGTATAACAGGACCCAGACATCGTCGTCTTCGCATTGGAGGCTGATTCTCCTTATCAGTCAATTGGTGTAATGTGCATATGATCTACAACAGAAAAAAATAAGAAAAAAAATCAATTGTTGTGTAAGTTTTGCTATTCTTTTTTATCCGCTTAGAACTGGAATATATATATATATATCAATGATTATGACGATGTCTGAAGCATCTGCACAAGAGGCCGACAGACATATCAACCTGAGGTCGAGCACTTCGGTCAAATCAATCGACGGAAAAATCTAAAATTAAATTAAATTATTTATTCCATATTAGTTTGTTTATTATAGATATGTCACACAGTGAAACAGTATTATTTACTGGATGACGTTTCGAACAAAATTATTCATTGTTCTCTGATTTGATTGTTCGTAATAATATCTTCCATGCATATCTCTGGTATTTGCATTGAGTCATTTCTATTGCATATGTTGGATGTAGACTCAATGAACCAGGCAGTATCCAGTAATCAACTCTCTCTCTCTCTCCACCTACCTATATTACTTTTTACAATTTGGACTCTCGACTCTCCCACCCTATTGTGTGGTTGTGTGTTAATGCATGCAGTGCAATGTAGTGCTGAGTTCATTTTTTCTAAATTACTTATCTTCGCAGGTGGGGTCAATCATTCTAACCTTAGTCAATGAATTCTTATGTTCTGACAGGCAATCTCACTGCCCCTGATCTACTAGTCTGACCTATGTAGTTGACTTAACTCATAGTCATTGCAAAGTATTTTGTTTAATTGAGTCCACCAGGATCCTTTAGCCTACAGAGCTTGTCCTACCTGAGTAAATTTGTAGGTTTAAATGCCACTCTTTTTTTTCCTTCACGTTCCACAGTGGAACATAGGGCTTCAAGCTAGTGGCTTGAAGTTTCTGTAGCAGTCTTTATTTTACGGGATGGGGCTGCTAGCCTCATGCCCAACCTTTCCTCTTCATCACCATTATTTCTGGCTTAGCGAGGTAAAGGAGTGCGTCAGCGGCCGGGGACCGAACCCTGATGGTAACCGCTATGGCACTCTAATTCCTGCTTTATTGAGAATCCTACGTGGTTTTTCAGATCACCTCTCCTTATATAGTAAAACTACTGTAGATGCTTTTACGAGTTGATCACGGATTGATATCAGTTAGAGAACCATTGAAAACCAGCACTGGAGTACTGGACAGCCAACTGTTTCATCCTAGTTTGGGAATCATCGGCAGTACGCACCCACACTACGGGGTACGAACCCAGAACCTTTCGGTTACAAGGCAAGCTGGCTCGTATACCATTCAGCCACTGGGACCCGATTCAATGGCCATCCCATGAATTCTAACTTCTACCAATTCGTGATTTAGCGCGACCCCACCCAATGTCGTTGGTGCGTACTGCCGATGATTTCCAAACTAGGATGAAACAGTTGGCTGTCCAGTACTCCCAAGCTGGTTTTCAATGGTTCTCTAACTGATATCAATCCGTGATCAACTCATTAACATAACTAACCCTTACAAACCAAACTATAGAAAATACTGTAGATGCCTTATATTCTTTCTTATTTATGTTATCATTATTAGTTTTATGACCATCATCTCTCTCTTATCCGCTTCCATTATGCTATCTGATCACGTGATATAAATGTCCTTCACCTTTATGATCAATAACTAATTAAGTACATTGTTATTGATTAAAATTGTTTATGGAATTGGAAAGGGCAGACAACGAAATGTTTATATGATGTAATTTTACCTTGCTCAATGTATTCACCACTGGTTTCTACTTACTTTACCTAACACACTTTACACAACTGGCTGAGATTGGCTTCAACCAGAGACGTAGGGGAGTTTTAGACTGCCTGATTGGGATCCTTGGAATACTAGGGAACCAATGACTGGAGACTAGTGGTGATATAGCTCAAAATCGTACACAACAGCGTACATGGATTCACTTTTTGTAATTCCCCTCCCCAATATCCACTAAACCCGACTTGTTTTTCCATATTACTATTCTGCCTTTCTTCCATACATTTCTGGTTGCGTAATAGTCCTTTTTGAATATCTTTTCTTCTTTTCTCTACCTTTATGCTCCACATGGAGTATAGTAACTTATTAAGCCACTGGGAGCCGATCCAATGGCCAGCCCATGAATTCTAACTTTTGCCAATTCATGACATAGCGCGACCACTTCGCAATGTCTTCTTCTTCGATGAGTTACTGCCTCACCTTCAACCTGCTGTACCCTACTGGTCACTGATGAAGAGTCCCAATCTAGGACGAAACAGTTGTCGAGTACTCTCAGCTTTTCCAATGGTTCTCTAACCGACGTCAGGTCATGATGAAATCCTGTAACCAAGTAATGCGATTAATTGGTGTACACTGCCAAGGCTCAGACCGTGGGCTTCCATGCATTGGGGTTTCATTAAGTATGCATAAATTACTTTAAACACAAAAGACTGCTGTACACTTATGTGCAAAGTTCTGCATTGACAGTCTGACTGAATTTCAACATAAAACTTTGCACAGAAGCGCACCAATTGTGAACTTGCCACACTCTATGCAGCACACAAAGGTAGAGAAAAAAGAAATTCAATAAGCATACATGTGAGGGAGCAAGAATAGTAACATGAGAAAATGGATCTGGGATGTCACAAAGACTGAATACATCTGCACCACTGAGAACGATTTTGCGCCACATATCACCAATAATCTTCCAACCATTGGTTGTTAGAGTCCTGAGAACGCCAACCAGGCAGGTAGGCAGCCAGTCTAGGTGGCTAGCTGTCTCTCTGTCTGTCTGGATTCAACATAGAACTTGGCACCGAAGTGCACCAGTTCGAGTTGCCACGTTCCAAATACCACACAAAGGTAGACAAGAAGATGAGTGAAGAGAATCAATAGAGTTTTGACAAGTATAAGAGTGAAACAGAATGAATGAGTAATGGTAGAAAGGAATATGAGACTGAATATTACAGAGACTGAATACATCTGCGTAAGCCATTGACAACGATTTTGAGCCATGTCACCTATTGTCTCCAGCCTTCATTGATTCTTAGAGTCCCGAGGGCGGGCCCCAACCCGGAAGTCTGCATCTCCCTCCCTATCTGACTCAGTTTAACTGTCAAGGATTTCATGGATTGATTGATGCCATGTTTTTGTTTGGCATGACACCACTTACTCTTTTCCAACCTGCACCTATATCAGCTAGTAATGCTCGTCGGGGGGGAGGCGATGGTTAGGCATGTGCAGCACGTCACCTAGCCATCTCAATCTATGTAACTTCATAGCCTCTTCGATTGATTTTTCCTCTTTGCCCAACACTCTACGCCTGACGTCAACATTACTTACCTTATTATACCACCTAACGTGGGAAAGGTGGCTAGCTCAAATCAAATGATTCCAAGTTTTAGTTCGACCACCTAGTAATTCTTTTCCAACCTAACCCTACCCCCTATGTCGGCTAACATTTCTCGTGGAGGAAGGCGGTGGTTCGGCATGCACAACACGTGTTCCTCACCAACTCAGTTGATGCCGAAAACTCACTCACAAATATACAGTGAACTCAAAAAAAATGTGAAATAATTAAATAGACTTACCGAATCATGATCACACCATTCATAAGTACCTTCCAGTAATGTACCACAAGAGGAAGCTGCTTTCATAACGCTTTGACACGTACTGTTATTATTACCATTATTATTATTATTACTACTATTATTATTATTGTTATTATTATTTTCAGCCAAGCTTGTATCTGTTGTAGCCGGCGATTGATTTGATGATTTACTTAATACAGCGACAATAGACGATGGATCTGCTGGTGCAGTGAACATACTGATCTGATTAGATGATGCATGGAAACGGATACCACGATAGTAGACAACTTCGAAAACCGGTCGATAAGATGAGCCTATCTCTGCTTCGCCCATTCGAACATATGTTACACGACAAAGATAACATCCTGTTGAAATGGAAAACGGTGAAGAAGAATTGATGAGACATTAGATAGACACACAAGTACACTTTATGTTAAAGGGGTGTGTAGTTGAATTTATTGAAAATAAAAGCCATACACACATGGGTTTCAGGATTATTGGAATTTGAGGGCATAGGATTTGTGGGGATTGTGGATTAATTTCACCTGTTACACATTCTTCATGAACCAGAATCAATTGAAGAGATAATTGAAAACCAGGGAGCACTGGACCGGCGGGGTACACCATTTCAAGGTGAAATGGATCACATCGAAGGTACTGATTAGGCCAGTGTTATGTCACAATTTGACAGAGTTCTGTCTGATTGTGAGGCGATTGTTACTTCCCGGCTGCCCACACCGTGGAAGTTGCTTGCGTGACCGCAGAGCCCAGGGGACAACTGCTTGAGGCCGGTCACACGCGGCCTGTTTTCGTTTGTTCTTTTTTATTTGGTGTGTCTCAGTAGCATATTTATCACTTCTGCTCTGTGACACGGCAGCAGGAAGCGCGGTCGTTGTTAATTCGGGCCCCGACCGATCCGGCATGATATTTTGTGAATTTGTTTGAGTCATAGCATTGGGTTGGGTAACTGCTTTTTGTCTAATCGCTATCCAAACAACCTTTCTGGCATGGTAGGACCTCAAGCGACATAAGTCTCAGCCAGTATAGCTTGTTGGGTCATTGCGGTGTTCAAGCCCGACCACCACGTCAAGGTAGCAGCTTTCGGTCGGGCACTTGACAAAGTTAGCATTCAAGAATCATTAAAATCCAGCTCAAGTGACTGACTGGTTTCAACGTAGAACTTTGCACCGATGTGCAGCAGTTCGAGTTGCTACTCTCCCTCCATGTAGTACACAAAGCAAGCGAACAGAGTAAAGACAGATTCAAAACAAGGAGAGATAATAAACAGAAGTGTGAGGGAGGAGGAATAGCAATATAGAAGAACAGTAGAGTTTTATTGGATATGACAAATCACAAAGAGTAAAATACATCTGCGCCAGCCATTGACAACGATGAGTTTGAGCCATATCAACAAGTGTTTGCAGCCTTCATTGGTTCCCACCATTCTGAGGACCCCAACCAGTCATGAAGCCGTGATTGTTAATATGTGCATCAGTTCTGTGGTATAATTCTATAAGAAACTCATATTCTAACTCTTTCAGATTACGCTTTACTGACAAATTCCAACGATTGATAGATTTATGTCATAAACCAACATCAGTTAGAGAGATCACTGAAAACCTGGGAGCAGTAGAAAACTATTTCTCCTCATTTCAGGACTCTTCAACAGTGTCCACCTACGATACACCCCCCTATTGCCAGGGATTGAACCCTTGGACCCTCAGGTTACGAAACCAAGCTTGTTGATCATTCAGCAGCCACTTGGGCGGGGAAGTTGTGGAGTCATATCGATTGAAATGGTTGGGATATGTGTTACGTATGCCCAGACATCACCTTCCCCGACGGGCAATGTTCGCTGATTGACAAAAGGTCGATGAGGTTGGAAAAGAGCTAGAGGTGGTGGTCAAACCAAAACATGGCATCAGTTAGTGAAATCCATAACAGTTAGTTTAAGCCAGTCAGCCATATAGGGAGGTGTAGGCTTCCAGGCTGGTTGGGGTCCTCGAGATGGTAAGAACGAGCAGAGCAAGAAAGATATGTACGGATGACCACTCTTACAAAAGGAATTTGAATATATTCATGATTCCTTGATGGAGATGGGCTATCCGAGTAGTTTCATTGAGAAACATATGAAAACATTGGAGAGAAAACCTGAGACTATGATTGCACGTGAAGAAAAACTTCTATTTATTAAGTTACAATTTAATGGTGACTTGTCAAGTGAGATTTTATTCCAGAGACTTTCCAGCAGTATACGAAGTACATTTTACACAGCACATCTGTTTGTCATTCTCTAGCCGACGAATGATTGGGACGCAAACGAAGGATAAGCTAGATAGTTTCGCCACATCTATGTGCATTTATCAATTCAACTGCACCTGAGGTGACAGATATGTTGGCCGTACTACTACTAGACAGCTTAACCAGCGTGTCACTACTGAACATCTCCCATCATGGTTTGGCAAAGGATAGACAAAAACAATACGTAGCTCAATTTCGTCACATTTAGTTGATAGTGGTTATGTAGTAGAGAAAACAAGAGCTTTCAAAGTAATTCATTGTATCCCATCTAATCTTTCCAATAGACTTCGTATTCGTCTACTGTACACAGCTGAGGCGATAGGCATTCGAATTATTAAACCTAAACTGTGCTCATTCAAAAGAAGTTCAAACACAACCATTATCCCTCCTTTGGCCTGTTGGCACCTAACCAACTGACGACTTCACCAACCCTTACTTATATTTTCAACCCCTTTCTTATCATCCCTTAATCTTATCACATCTTCATTAGCAAAGTGTTTCGTTTAGTTCCTTTAAAATCTAGCATTACTTAATCGGTCTATTTGTTCTTCTTGGCCTTTATCGACAACTACGTCTACCTGAACAGTTGTTTGTTTAATCATGCTGTTTTTGATTATTCGTGCTATTACAGATTGCCTCACTTTTTCATCCTTATTATTGATAGAGCCATTATTATTATTATTATCCTTACGACTATTATCACTAATGGTCGCGCTATTTCGTGAATTGGCAGAAGTTAGAATTCACGGGCCATTGGATCGGGTCCCAGAGGCTCAATGGTCTACGAGCTCACTCGCCTTGTAACCAGAAGGTCCTGGGTTGGAATCCCGGTGGGTGCGTACTGATGAAGAGTCCTAAACTAGGACGAAACAGCTGGCTGTCCAGTACTCCAGTGCTGGTTTTCAATGGTTCTCTAACTACTGATGTCAGCTTATGATGAAATCCTCCATCCAATGGTTCAGAAACTTGGCGCCCACGTCACGAAAAGCATTTCCAACAGGTTCAGCTGCAGACTTTTATCAACAGATGCCTTCACTAGGTCCATATTGAAGATCAGATAGTCGGCTGGTCAGAAATAATTAGCAACAAGAAACTCTGGCTGGGAACAAACCAACAGGTGAGAACCTATAGCTCAACTAATATGCAGGAGAAAATGGAGATGGATTGGGCACACACACCACTGAGGAGACCGTCGAATGACATAGCACGCTAGACTATCTTACGAGTGGGACTCGAATGGGAAACGACGAGTTGGGAGTGAGTCCGAGAGTGACATGGAGGAGATGAGCCTGTCGGCAATCGTGGGGTCAGCTAGAGAGGACAGCAGAGAACAGGACAAAGTGGAGATGTGCTGTTGAAGGCCTATGGTCCACCCGGAGCTCAAGGGAACAATAATAATAATAATAATAATAATTATTATTATTAGGAAATAAATATTTACATCATACCATGAAATAGAACCCTTGGTCGATAGATTGCCATTTCACGCCAAGAAGTGTAATGTTGTAGTGATGGTGAAGTGGTCATTTGATGATCTGACACCAAATTATTATTATTATTGTTATTGTTATTACAAGTGATATCATATGTGATCCATATTGGCCATAATTTGAAGCATATATCACGCCATATTGAAGTATCATTGGCTAGAAGATAGAAGCCACGGCATACCTGTTTAGAAGAAATCAAAATATTCAAGAAAAAGCATTATGAATGAGTAACCAAAATGAATGATGACGTTTGGTATTTCTAGTTGACACTGAAGTAGACAGGTAGACAGTCGGGATGAGATGGCTTAAACTAAATCAAAGTGCGGGTAACTTATTCATGATTATTATTATTACTACTACTAAGAACCAAAATTGGTACATTATATGGACTCTAAGAGATGAGCCCCACAAAATCTGATCGTTTGTAGCAGGGCTGGGGAATTTACTACCCGAACGCACACACAGAAGCGGACATCTTTCTTTGCTTTGAGCCTTCCACATGAAGTCTGATCCACGAGACGGTGGATCAACGTCAGGAGCTATATATTCCCATGGTTTCCGGTGACCAAAACAGGTTCATATGTCCGCTGTTCGATCCGTTCGGATTCTGGATCCCATGAACACCATAGGTTTCAAATCAGAGTCTTCCAGCTCTCCTAGACAGACCTGTATATCCACCAGTCCGGTTGTAAGAGTGCCAGATATCCTCTCACGGCAAAGTTAAACTTTAAGCACCACTAACTACCATCAATCAGCAAATGACCTCGAATGCACCAATCACATGAAGGAGGCATTTTTGTGTATGAAATACACATATTTATGAAAAAATGCATAAAAACTGTAGAAAAGTGTTACAGAGGATATGACTTCCTCTTACATGTGATAAAGATAGCTCTCAGTTTTAGTTTGGAGTATCAACAGAGTTTAATTCCATTGTGGGTAAAATTTATTATGATAAAGTCTCACAGTGTTATACAGTAATATTTACTGAGCAATAAATTCTGCTTGAAGCGTCATCAGTAAATATTACTGTATAACACTGTGTGATTTTATCAAAAGAATGGAGTTATACTCTACCACAGTGCACAAGTTTTATACTTACATCAACAGAGTAATTTAACCACATTCTATGCATGTAATTATTTGGGTCTTCTAACCCTAACAATAACCCTGATCTTTCCTGAACCTAACCCTAACGTGAAAATATCCCTAAACTAACTGTAATCTAACTCGAACCAACCCCAATGTCGCCTTTATTAGGTTAACCTAACCCTAACTTGTCCTTGGCCTAAACCGTAACTGAATCTTTCCCAAACCTAAGCTAAGACTTGCCAGATATCCCATTTGACAGCATAACACTTCGATGAGCATATTTTATTGATGATGACAACATTATTTGCCAGGTTTCACTAACTTGCTCAGTGAGCATTTCAAGGTCATTGGTGCGGTCGCACTCCATTGGTAGTTAGTTAGTGGTGCTTAAAGTTTAACTTGGCTCCTTTCCTTTTTGTGAGGAACGCCCCTGGCTAGATACTTGCCCATGAACTGACTCACCATCAAACCAACAAACACAATGATCACATTTAAAATTTGAATCGATAATGACCTGACTGGGTTACAGAATGGATGAGTATTAACACTGTTCAAGCATTCCATACGAATCAGTGTCTGTGAAATTCCTGAACCTTAAGACCTTAGAATTTAATGTTTTTTTATTTTTAGTGCTATCGTGTTGTCTGACCTGGATGGTTTATTGGTAAAGCAGCTTTTTTTATTGTCTTTCTAGACAACATCTTAAGCGCTTACTTCAAAATGAAATGACCTTATGAAGGTCTCTATGAATTTAATAGACGTGTTCTTCCTGTTGACCTTGGATTGTGATTGGTTGTACTAGTATTGATCGTCTCGTTGACCTAATGCTTAATCTTTTGATGATTTGTATTTAATTTCTTTCTCTTTTTAATATCAACGGAGTTTTTGAATTATTTTCCAAGCATAATCTATTATTCTCAAAGTTTTATAATAGAAGACGTATAATTCAGAAGTTTTGATGCCTAAGACTGTCTGACAATCACTTTCAAGTGTAAGGTCGGATACTGAGCATTACAGAGCCGTGTTACACTAAGAAAAGACTACAAATTCTTGTTCAGCATCGGTGGCACAGTGGTTAGGACTCTTGCCGACCATGCACATGGTCCGGGGTTAGATCCTCTGCCAACGCATACCTGATATTAATGGTCGGCCGGCAAAATTTGGGCTACCGATATCGCATTCTGAAAATTACATACTTGTACCAAAAATACGGTGTGGAATCAAGCTATAGTCAAGAAAAAATATAACTGAACATCGACAATCTTCTTCTTCTTCTTTTACTTCTTTGAGTTCCCAGTGGAACATAGGGCTTCTTCAAACTAGAGCTTTGAAGTTTCCGTAGTAGTGGTATTTATTTTTACGGAATAGGGTTGCTAGCCTCATGCAAAACCTTCTCTTTTTGTTGAAATTGTAACCGGCTAAGGGAGGGTTAAAGGTGTGAGCCGGTCGGGGCTCGAACCTCAGACCACGTGCGTGGTCGGCTAGCGCTCTACCGCTAGTTTTTAGTTGATCACGTGTATCAAGCGGTTATGAACCACATATATGGTGACGGCTCATTGCGCTACGCAGATGCTCAGCCTGATGTGTGTGGGTTCGAGCTAGAAGCCAGGACCCATTGACTATAAGTCGAAGGGTTAGGTCAATCAACCACATAGCCACAACAATTTACTCACCCGAGCCGAACCAATCTGTTGTTCTGTTTAGCTTGTCTACCTACACCATCAACTCACATTGCCTTCCTATTAAGACATCAAGTGATGTGACACTGCCCGTAGTGGCATAATCGTCCAATGTGTAAGTCACATCCACATTGGTCACAACGACTGAGCTAAAGTGTTGGGTTACCACATAGCCTGTTATATGCTCTGATGGTGTTTTCTCGTGACTTTTTGTTGCTAAATTTGCTAAGGGCAATGGGATAGTACGCGATTTGACGGTTTTGTGCCTTATGCATGCGCTCCACCATGGTAACGTTTATGCATCAGTGGTTCAGCGATAGAATACTGGCTAACTACACACATGGAGGTCTGGGATTCGATCAGCGGTCGATGCACTCCTAAACCTCTCTTAGCCAGTATTAAGCCAAGTAAAGGGACAAGGTTGGGCAATTTCACCTCAAATCTATCTCCCTGTTATTTGATATTCTTATGCCGATGGAAGTCTCTTTATATGCTACTGATAAGAAGATGAAGAACGAATCGATTATCAGCTCTGAATTATTCGAGCAAATACGACCCTCCGGTTCCGTGATTCCCCGTTTATATGGTCTGCCGAAAGTGCACAAACAGAACGTGCCACTACGTCCAATCTTGGATATGACAAATTCCCCATATCATGCTACTGCCAAATGGGTCGCAGACATCCTCCTACCTCTCAGAAATAACCTCTGCAAGCATAGTGTTTCTGATTCCTTTGAATTCGTCGATTCAATAAGCGATGTTAATGTATCCGGGAAGAAAATGATATCCATGGATGTTACTTCCCTTTTCATCAACGTTCCCCTGACTGAAACTATTTGCTTTATATGCAAATTCATTGAGGATAATAATGTAGACGTGTGTGTTCCGATCCATTACTTAAAGGAACTACTATTGATGTGCACTTTAAATGTCCAATTCAAGTTAAACAACACGCTTTATAAAAAAGAGATGGAGGGGCAATGGGATCACTATTGGGTCCTTTACTTGCAGACTGCTTCTTGGCAAGCGTGGAGAATAGTATTTTACAGCCCACTATCGATAGTTTCCATTTGTATCAAAGATACATGGATGATACTTTCATCATATGTGACGACAATACTAACATCGAATTGATAACTGAAGAGTTCAACAGCTGCCATCATGCCATCCAGTTCACGTCGGAATCAGAAATGAGCTCGGAATTCCTTTTTTTGGATTTTCTTCCAAAAAGAAGATCTGATTTTTCTCTTCAAAGATCGATCTACAGGAAACCAACATGGAATGGTCAGTACACAAATTTCCATAGTTGGGTCCCTTTGAGAAATCTGATCCACTCCTTATCCTCAAGAATAAGGAGGATATGTTCCAGTGATACAATCGACGGGGAACTGGGGCGACTCAGACAAGTCTTCATAGAGAATGGATATCCTCCAAGATTTATCGGGAAAAACATGAAATTAAGGGAAAAGCCTGAAAGGACCCAGACGGTGCCGAAGGAAGTGCTATTTATGAGTGTCGAATTTAAAGGTGATACCGCAGCTGAGATCCTGAAGAATCGCTTATGCAGATCACTAAGGAAAGCCTTCTCTGTGGCTGAGCTACGGATCAATTTCTACAGCCGACAAATGATCGATGGGTGTGTGAAGGATAAACTGCCACTTTGGGCCACTTCAATGTGTGTTTATAAATTCACCTTCTCGTGTGGAGCTAGTTATATTGGCCGCACAAAGCGCACGCTTTCCAAACGCATCTCTGAACATTATCCAACATGGTTAGCAAAAGGACAATACAAGACAATTACTAGCTCAATTCTCGAGCATTTGGTGAACTCAAGCCGCGTAGCTCCACCAGAGTCGTTTTTTAAGATTATGTACAAGGTGAGGCCAAATAGTACAAAGGGAATCAGGTTTCGGCTTTTGTGTATGGTGGAAGCACTTCGTCAAAACAACCCCGAACTCTGTATACAGAAAAAGTTTGTCCAGTCTCTTAATCTACTTTGGTCTTAACCTCTTTACTAGTCGTTCCCCTGTAAAAAAATTTTTCTTTTTTTAAATTTTACTTTAGTTTGCTTTTGCTTTAATAATTAATTCACTATTATCACTCTCATATGCTCCTTTTGTACATTTCACACGCTCTTCACACTTGTTAAATTAATATTCAACTATCACCTTTATTCTCACTCAATAGCAATTTTAACCTTATCAGATTTCTATCTTTGTTCCGTTGAGTACCACGTAATTTACAACTTTTAATTTTCACTTCTAAAGCCACTTCTGAGTAAATATATCAATGATATCACCTCCTTTTACTCAATAATAGACCACTATATATTTTTGGTAAGTATAAATACGACTGTACAGCCAGCCTCTGAAGATGATTTCATCGATAAAGAAGCATTTTCTTCGCTGGCTGAATTTGTCTTTTATTTTCTACTGATAAGTTTTATCAGTAGTACTCACCATAGTAGGACTATAATACAACATCACATTATTAAAGTAACTGAATCATATAAAAGCATAGTGAACTTACACAAGCCAATATACCTAGAACTCGTATATCCAAATGACTACCAATAGTCCATCGAACAATTCTTAGGAGTAATTCAAACGGCAAGGCGGAAATATGCGTCGACTATAGACAATAAATAATGAAAAAAAAGAAAAGACGAGAACGTTTTGAAAGATAACTGAGAATAGCACATTAAACTTAAGCATAAAGATTCGAATGATCCATGCAAACAACATATACGATATCAGGAGATTAACAATGGATGCACTCACCCTGGAGTTTCATTTTTTTTTTAGTCAGTGGATCCGGCAATTAAACTCCGCTTTGGCTACAGGAGAGATTTGAAGTTAATTACTTCCTCCTTCACTTATCCAGACAGTAACGTTTCTTATCTACAGGCGGCGGCACGGATGAGGTTGTCAAAGCCAACCAGGATTGGAAAATCAAGAGAGAGACCTTTATTACTTTGAAATAAGTATGGAAAATCTGTTGCACACAGCATAAGGAACAAGATTCGAATCTTCAACACACTCAAGATAAGATGGAAAACAACGATTAACGATAAGGAACTCAGGCAATAAGCTGACCTAGGATCAGTTACAGAAAGAAATGGGGACGGATTCGACATATACACTGAGGAGACCGTTGAATGACATCACACGCCAGTCAGACCCCGGACCATGTGCAAGGTCGGCGAGCGCAAGTTTTATACTTATATCAATATTATTTGTATTGAAATGTTGGCTACGAGAAAGGCAAATCCTGGATTCTAATGTTAGTAAGTAATAAGTAACAGTCAAAAGTTTCCCTCCGATGAATGAAATATTAAAATTCGGTAATATGACTGAATTTCTATGAAAATGAACTGACAAAGATTGATATATATTCGACAGAACAAGGATTAGACAAAAGGTATAGAATAAACAAGACAAGAATAACACGTGCAATTATTGATTTCTTCGAGTAGATGTATCTAAACCTACTTAACTAACTTTAAAGTTAGAAGTGAAGACGGAAGTAAGACAAGACTGCCTACTATCACCGATCCACAATGGGAAACTCAGCGAGGCGTTCGAATTGAATACTGGAGTAAGACAAGGCTGCCTGGCTATTACCACCGATGATATTCTTATTTGTGGTGGGCTGGATTGTGCGTCAGACTGTGCACAGGGGATGAGAAGACAGGAATACGCTGGACCACTGATAAGAAGTCTCTAGAAGACCTGAATTTCTCGCGTGGGTGATATATATCTAGTGTCACACAAACTCGAAAGCTTACAGGAAGGCGAAACCCAACAAACTGGCTGAAGAAGTAGGCAGCGAAGACAGGACTCTAGGTGAACATAGAGAAGATGGAGGTGAGGAAGAAAGTCAACCAACAGGAACAACAATTAGCACCAATCAACATCAACAGGAGAGACTTGACAGAGGTTACTTCCTTCACTTATCTGGTCAGGAAGCATGGTTTCAACCAAAAGCAGTCGGGAAGGATAAAGATGTCCAAGCCAGTCAGAATCGGAAAGGCAAGATACTTGCACCTTCATCAACCTGAAACCAGTCAGGAAATCTTCTGCACTAACTCAATCAGCATAAACAAGAAGACTCGGATTTTCAACACAAATGTCGGTGAAGTCAGTCACTTCCTCTATATTCGTCAGAAACATAGCCAGCATGAAACGAAAAGGATTTCCAACAGATTTCAGACCTTTATCAACAGCTGCTGACTCCATACTGAAGATTAAATGGCCGGTCAGAAAGAATTAGCAACAAAAAACTCTGCAGTAGAACAAACCAACAGACGAGAGTCAATCAATCAACAAGCATGTAGGAAAAAATGAAGATGGATGGATCGGGCATACGCCACTGAGGAAACCGTCGAATGACATGGCGCGCAATGAAAGCCAATCCTCGAGTGGAATCCAAATGGGAAACGACGAGTGAGTTGTCGGTGCGATGGTGACATGGAGGAGATCGTGTATTGGGGAGGGGGATATGAGAGATTATGGGCAATCGTGGACCCAGCTGGTGAAGAGGACGGCAGAAAATAGAAGAAAATGAAGATGTGTTGTTGAAGCCCTCCATGTGTTCCACTCGGAACCCAAGGGAATAATAATATAAATAATCTATGCTACATCACTTCTTTACAGTTTAGATAAATGAAAACATAACGATATTATTATTACAATTTATAATAAAAAGGAGAACTTACTGTTGTATTTTCATTCAACGGCTGAAGGCATAAACCTTTGTACTCCGGGTTGTATCGTACACATTTTATGAATAGATTGTACAGATTGGATTTATTACTGTCAAGCTTTACTAAAAGTGAAATGAGAAATGTATATAACAGACATGGAGGTTAATATTTTAAATCTAAAGACTACCATATATGCTATTCACTAACTGACTAATTGAGTTTCAATATAGAACTCTACACAAAAGTGGAGCAGTTCAAGTTGCCACACTTCATATAGCCCACAAAGGTAAAGAAAAGGTTGACTGTTTTTGATCATAGATGTCTACGATCTCTTTCTCACGTTAGGTGGTATAACAAGGTAAGTAATGTTGACGTTAGGCGTAGAGTGTTGGGCAAAGAGGGAAAATCAATCGAAGAGGCTATAAAGTTACATAGATTGAGATGGCTAGGTCACGTGCTGCGCATGCTTAACCATCGCCTCCCCCGACGGACGGGCACTACTAGCTGATATAGGTGGTGCAGGTTGGAAAAGAGTAAGTGGTGGCCAAACAAGAACTTGGCATCAATCAATCCATGAAATCCCTGATAGTTAAACTGAGTCAGTCAGGTAGGGAGGGAGATGCAGACTTCCGTGTTGTGGCCCGCCCTCGGGACTCTAAGAATCAATCTACGGCTGGAGACAATAGGTGACATGGCTCAAAATCGTTGTCAATGGCTTACGCAGATGTATTCAGTCTCTGTAATCTTTCATATTCCTTTCTACCATTACTCATTCTGTTTCACTCTTATACTTGTCAAAACTCTATTGATTCTCTTCACTCATTTTCTTGTCTACCTTAGTGTGCTATTTGGAACGTGGCAACTCGAAGTGCTGCACTTCGATGCCAAGTTCTATGTTGAATCCAGACAGACAGATAGACAAAGGTAGAGGAGAGACAAAAGCAATTCGAAAAATCTACAACGAGCAGAAAGAATAGAATCGTAGGGAAACATGAGGACTGAATGGATCTCGGAGACTGTCAAGAGTGAATGCATCTGGGACATTGAGAACGATTTTGAGGTATATAATCAACAGTCTCCAGCTATTAGTTCTTAGCTTCCCTTACGTGGCTGATTCAAACCAACTGTCAAAGACGTCATTGACTGATGACAGGTTTTGATTTGAGCACCAGTATCTCTTTTTTCCAACCCAATCCTACACATCAGCTAATGGTACTTAGATGTTTAAATAGCAAACAGTGGATCTAATTTTTCTGTTAACTTAAAGATGGCAATAACGTCTGTCCATGATTATGTTATAACTGCACTGAACTGAATGAGAACCGTAGGTCACTTTGTTATGTCTGCGCCTGCTTCCAATTCATTGAGCCACACAAATATCAAAAGACAAAGGCTGGCCTGTGACTGTAAGATGCTGTATTGTACTGTATATTAGGAAAACAATACATGGTATTTATACATTTTTACAATAATAAAGGCGGCTAACACAGCGTCTGAAATAATTGATCGTATAATCAATCACAACATGCACGAGAAATGATGATATACTATTTTTATGCGGGATCCTATCAGATTTAACTTATTTTCCTCCTCTGAAATTCGATTCTTTCTTGTTCATTATCGTAACAGAAAATATCAGTTATAATCTATTCGATCCCCTTTCAGTATACAGTATCGATGGGGAGCTTGGACATAGACTTTTGTTTTCACTTTGTGGCACTCATCAGCGAAATTCGCTGGAGTTTGTATAGCGTCTGCGTTTCAGATCTGTGTTGCTCAGTACCAAAGTTAATGACTTTATCCCTACCTACTACGTTTAGGTTATGATCGACTCCATGTAAGTGTACATCAATTATGCAGTAGACTGTGTGTACCATTTTGAGCATCAGAGTTTAAGTAGCACTAAAGATATGGTATTACTGACTTTAGAATCAAAAGCTTTATTCTGGAATTTGCCATAGGAAATAAGAATGATAAATACACGAAGCGGTTAGTTATACTTTATGTAGTTAGTTTTCTGTCAATCAGGTATGAAGTCTGACAACTAATCTCCTAGCGTTGATGGCACAGCAGTAGGATGCTCGCCAACCACGTAGGTGGTTTGGGATTCGATCCCCGGCCAATGACGCACTGTTTTACCTCGCTAAGCCAGTAATAAGACTGGTAAAGGGAGAAGGCTAGGCAAAAAATAAATACCACTGCTACGGAAACTTCAAAGCTTCAGCTTGAAGCCTTATGTGAGGAGGAAGCAAAGAACATCCTGGATAAACTTAATGAGGTTCATCCTGCAATAAAATTTACTATTGAGAAAGAAAAAGACTCCGGTATCTCATTTCTAGATGTCCTTATGAACAGAAAAGAGGATGGCACAATAAGAAGTGTAAGTAGAAAACCTACATCAACTGGTCAGAATACTCATTTTCTCAGCTTCGTGCCCTTGAAATACAAACGCAATCTGATAAAGTGATAAAGAGCAAGAGCGATTTGCTCGGATGAATGTCTTGATGAAGAAGTTAATAATATTAAACGGTTGCTGATTGAAAATGGTTGTCCAGAAAAGTTTATTGATAAGAAAATGAATCTAAAATCAAAGCAGCCCAAGTTATCAACAGTCCCAAAAAGGCCTTATTCTTACGAATGCAGTTCCTTGGGGACAACATCAGCAAGATACTAACACAGCGCCTTAGAAATGCGGTAAAAAGAGCATTCCTTGCTGCTGAATTACGCTGTGTCTTCAAAACCACTCCTGCCTAATTTCGCCACTTCCATGTGTATCTACCAATTTAACTGCTCCTGTGGAGTGAGCCAGTTACATAGACCGTAGAATTAGGCGTGTTTCTCTTCGAATTTCCGAACATCACCCTGTGTGGTTGGTTAAGTAAAGGACAAACAAAGTCCACTCATAGCGCTATTCTATCTCATTTTGTGGATACAGAACACAAGATTGATGTTAACCAGGCTTACAGGGTCATTTACCGCATACCTACGAATCTCAATTTTGCCTTAAGAGTTCGACTACCAAATATTGCTGAGGCTGGTTGTTGGGATCCACATTAAGAAGCCTAATTTATGCATCCAAAAGAACCCAGTTCAGACATTATCATTACCTTGGCCATCTAGTTCTGAGTGATACTGAATTTTTGTGGAATTTTCCTAATTTTAGCTGATATTCTATTTGCTATTTTATTTGTATGCTTATTATAATTTAAGCATTATAATTTATTATATATCTAATACAAAACAAAATAATAATAATAATGAGCAGTGAAACTTTACAACTTAGTGTAAGAATAAATCAACTCGCAAAAATATTCCTAATGCCCAAGTATCTATAAAAAGTCACTGCATTTTATGTGTATTACGTTAAAAACAAAGACAACAAGAAAAATTACTTACAACTTTTCTGAAAGATACCAATCCAATCTGCGGATTTGTATGTCGAAACTTGTGAATTTGAATCGTTTGAATTCGACGTATATCCCGAGGAAGCAGTACATAGAATTTGATTCTTTTCATCGACATATTTTTCTAAAGTAAATTGTATAATAAAAAAAATCAAGTAATAAAGCTAATCAATTACAACAATATTATTTCATGCAGCTAGGTGGTATACACTGTTGGTTAACGTGAATGACTGACTGAATGGTTTCAACATAGAACTTTGCACCGATGTGTGCAGCATTTCGAGTCGCCACACTCCCTCCGTGTAGCACACAAAGCAAGAGAAGAAAGTAAAAAGAAATGCAAAATAGTGACAGTAAACAGAGATATAAGGCAAAAAGAATAGTAATATGGAAGAACAATAGCTTTATTGGGTATGATAAGTCACAAGGAGTGGATGCATCTGCGGCAGTCATTGAGAACTATGAGTTTGAGCCATATCAATTGTCTCCAGCCTTCATTGGTTTTTTAACCCCCCCCCCTCCGAGGACCCGACCAGGAGGCCAGTTTACACCTTCCTACGTGGCTAGCTTAAACTAACTGTTGTGGATTTCACTGACTGATGAAGCCATGTTTTGGTTTGACCACCACTGACTCTTTCCCAACCTGTCAGCTAACATTGCCCGTCTGTCGAGGGAGGCGATGGCTAGGCATGTGTGACACATGCCCTAACCATTTCAATCGGTGTAACTTCACAACCTCGTCGATTGATTTCCCCTCCCGCCTACCTAGCACTCGGCCGATTCCTAACCTTAATATTGCTCACCCTACTATACCACCTCACACAGGAGATAGAACGCAGGCACCTATGATCAAAGACAGCTAGCTAGCCTTTTCATGTCTAACACTTTCAATGGCCAGGTCTCACGTGAATAGATTGAAGCCACTCATCACAGATCGATATGATCTGAACACCAAGTGACCGTTTAGCTTGTTTAGGTTCGAGCTAACCAAAGGTATACCTGGTTAGGCTCAGTTCTGAGGGGCAAATCAGTTCAAATCCCTGGAATTCTGGATATCAATTATTATCATTATTATTTCCTTTAATTCCTAGAGGAACATAGGGCTTCAGCCATGCGTCTCCATTGCGTTCGGTTCTCTGCTGTAGTTTTCACCTGGCTCCAAGTCTGCCCACACGCTTTCAATTCCTCTTCACATGATCTCCTCCAGGTCACCCTTGGACGACCAACTCGTCACTTCCCTTTCGGGTTCCACTCGAAAGGGATATCAAACAAAGCATTTAAATCAATATTATTCCATAGAGAATGTAACTAGTCATTGTCGAGTATTTTTGCACAGCTATACATAGCACATCCCCAAGCAGCATTCTGTCTAATGAGTATAGTTGTTATTACTCGGTTACATCCATATTATTATCAGTCTATTAACAGTCTTATCAAACAAATATATCATTTCCAACATTAACATAACCTTGGGTTTTCTATCGTTGGTTTGTTAGGGTTAGTTTTGTTTTTACGAGTTGACCACGGATTGATATCAGTTAGAGAACCATTGAAAACTAGGGAGTACTGTTTCATCCTCGTAAAAACAAAACTAACCCTTACAAACCAACTCTTGAAAATTAATCTGATGCTTGCTAGTGACTTGATACATGATGGAGTTTCCTGGAGTGAGTTCTAGTGAGAAGTCATGACCAGTGAGGTCCATCCAGTCACGTATGAGGATGGATAAACTGTTATTTTGGCGAGGTTCCTAGGGAGTGGGAGACATGGTGGCCGTCGTTACTGGATTTTAATTTCACTATCTTAAGGAAAGCGTTTAAAAAGTTTGCAATAGAATCAGATTATGTTACAAAAAGTCTTGATCTCATTTTCAAAATATATGGCTTATGCAATCCATAATAATACTTCATTTCTAGGCAGTCTCTCCCAATACTTCCCAAACGAACAGTAGTAGGTTGACTTTTATAAATGTACTCAAATGGAAATTCTGGGGGCAAAAATTAGGGGGTAATGCAATATTTCTCCCCGAAGTTACCCTCCACAGTTTCCCCAAATATCTAAGCATATGGTTTTATGGATTAATTGTGTTGGTTGGTTTACAAAATCTTTCCAAAGACCACCTAACCAGCCCACAGTAAATAAAAAACTTTCCATCTTTAAATTGATATTTAACACTGTAAACAGCTAATCACTAAATTCTTCATGAATGACATTGCACTAAAAAGGACATTTCGACGTATGCCGAAAAGTGGGGAAGTGATACGGGTAACGATGCGAATTAGCACGAAGAGGGAAGACGTTTCCCATTTTTGGATTAATTCCGTAAAGAGACCATACAAAAACGTATTACGGCAACAGTAAAGAATGGACACCAAAATCAAATGATCTTGAATCAACTAATATAACGGCTAGGCAATACACATGGATGGTGTTCATAACATTCGTTGCAAGTTCCACTTGGATGTTTTAATACCAATAATACAACGACTAGTCCTCCTGGGTACAACCATTCATACACTTGAATGGAAGGGTTATTTGCAACTATCATCATTAGACTATTCATCATAAGGTCAATCATTCTTCTGAGCCCAAACTTACAACAATTCGATAATGCCTTTTTATGGTAAATGAGGATTTTATCTACCCACTATGTGTTGAAAAAGGATCTACTAATTAATTGGTAGATCCTATGAGTTAAACTAATACAAATTCTATTGAAGGATTCAGGGTGCATCTAAAAAACGTATAATAATAGTAAATGGTTCCCAATGTGATATTATATGATATACAACTAGTTAGATTTTTTGCATCCACATTGATTTTATATGTCTACAGATACTCCTGTGAGAAACTAAGATCAGTTTTTACAGCATCATAGAGACATACAGCCTGTATAATTCAGCTTTATTACATAAATGCATTATAAATACACTTTTTTTCCAAATGTACGACACATTTCACGTAGAATATAATTAGTAGATTCAAGGTCATTTGGATTTGGTGTCTATTCTTTATTGTTGCCACATTTCCATCAAAACAGTGGTAATTCCGATTGTGGATTTGCAGGCATTTGTTGGTATTTCGAAAAGTGATAGACTAAAATGTGGGCTTACCAGTCGATTTTTTCAAGTATATTTCGTTTTTCAAGCCCTGGTAGAAATCGTTCAGTTCTTTGTTACCAGTATATTTGAAACTTTCGTGAGAGGAGGAGGAGGAGTCAGAGTCTTCATCTTCATCACCCTGTTCATCAACACAACCCCCAGGAGACAACATCCGTAAAATCGTAAACTAAAGGCAGCCACTTTTGACCGCTCGTAGTTAACGACCTAGACAGTGATGCATTCAAACGACAGATTCAGATTTTCAGATTCAGATTTATTGGTTGGGGATAAGAGGCTTGGAGCCTGTGGTAATCCTTTTCTAGTAAATCTCTGTGGTTGTCCAAACTCTTCTTAAACGTGTAGTGTACATTGAACCTTCGAATCAGTTGAGGTTGCAGACACCACTTCTTCTGGGAGTCGGTTCCAAGAGTTTGTGACTCGGTGTGAGAACCAGTACTCAACAGCAATATGATTTCTTCTTGGCTTTTGAACTCTCCTGCTATGTCCTCTAAGGTGTTCCGACCTGGTGGGAAGGAAAAGAGAGAATGTGTCAGGTCCGTTGTCATTATTTGAAATTTTAAACACCAATTAAATCTCCTCTCTGTCTACGGTATGATAGGGAAAAGAGATTTAAACTGTCTAGTCTTTCCTCATGTGATAAATTAGTCGTGCCGAGAATCATACGTGTTGCCTTCCTTTGAACCCTTTCTAGAGTGTGTGAGTCCTCTTTAAGACAAGGACTGCCTGTATGCAGTTTTCCAGTCTTGACCTCACCAGAGATGTATTTATGAAGGTGAACATATCTCTGGTGATTCTAGTGAAGGCTCTAAGAATTGCCCATAATGACCTGAAGCTACGTGCAGCCACCGAGCGACAGTGTGCTGTAGTTTTTAAATGGTGGCTAACTATGACGCCAAAGTCCAAGTGAGTCTGAACTGATGGAAGTGTTATTCCCTCTAGTTTGTAGGAGCTCGTGCTTGCTTTTCCAGTGCGTATGGTTGCACATTTTGCCACATTGATCGGGAGCATCCATTTTATGGACCACTCTGACATTTTGTTGAGGTCCTCTTGCAACGTGGACGTGTCACTGTTGCCCTTCAGCTCTCTCCAAATTTTTAAGTCATCTGCGTATAGGACCATAGGGGAATCGGTGAGCAGAGATAACACATTGATATACAAAATATATAGGAGAGGTCAGAGTACCGTGCCTGGTGGCACTCCACTACGCACTGCTGTCCAAGAGGAGAGTTTCGAGTTGATCCCAACCCTCTGCCTCCTATCCATGAGGAATTCCCTGAGCCAGTTAAGTAATCTGCCTTTGATGCCAAGACTTTCCAACTTCATGAGCAGTCTTTTGTGGGGTACTTTATCAAAGGCTTTGCTGAAGCCTATGAAGACGACGTCAACGGGTCTTCTGTTGTCTCTTGATTTTACTCAGCTTTCCCTTACAGTGAGGAGATTTGACAGGCATGAGAGGTTTCTTCGGAAGCCATGCTGTTCCCTTGATAATAAGCTTCTATTTTCTAGATATGCCATGATGCTTTTCCTGATGATTCTTTCCAGTGTCTTGATTAAAGCGCTGGTGAGACTAATAGGTTTGTAATCTGAAGGGCTTTGTCTTTTTTCTAAAAGCTATGGAAAAGTTGCTCTTACTTAATCTTCAACCTTCACTTAAAGCCTTTAACGATCCCAAACAATTCGCCTACAAACATAGTAGAAGTACTTTGGACGCAGCTGCAGTCCTGTATCATAACATTGTCTCCAGCTTAGACAAGGGGGCTAAATTTGTTCGCCGCACCTTTCTAGATTATACATCTGCTTTCGACTCAGTACTTAGGGACATTTTACTAAACAAGCTTGCTGAAACTGACGGTTGGGTTGTCAAATGGCTCCATTCTTATTTCTCAGAAAGAAGGCAATACACTGTATGTCAGGGAAAGTCGTCCAATTCATTGATTACTGAGGCTGGTGTCCCTCAAGGCGCTGTCCTTTCTCCTTTTCTGTTTTCTTTCTTCTTGCATGACTTGCCTCACTCCGATGAAATGAACTTTGTTAAGTATGCCGATGATCTAACTATCTCAATGTCTGTTAACTCTCAACTTGACTGTATTAAGATTAACAACTTTCTATCAGAAATTAGCAAATGGTCTTCGTCTAACGGCCTTAAACTTAATCCTTCCAAATGTCAGACTGTTAATTTCAGTTTCCGATGTAAACGAAAGTTAAATGAAGCCGTTGGTTCCTATGGTCCTTGCAAAATTGGTGATACTGATATAGAAACCAAGTCTGAAGTTAATTATCTTGGATTAGTTCTCTCTTCTGACCTATCTTGGTCTTCTTATGTCTTAGCGATTTCTCAAAGAATATTTCGTCTGGCTTTTTACATTAAGAAGTTGAGGCACTCAGGCATAACCCAACCACTCCTCTTACAGTTTGTCAACTCTTGTATTTTACCTATTTTTCTTTACTGTTCACCATTATTTTTTGCTGGATTGCTAAAAAAGGACTATGTCATACTTCGTAGAATTCTGAACACTGTCAGTAGGACGAGTGGTATCCCATTGGGCCATATCGTTGGCATTGTCACCGGTAGGCATTTGATGTCATGCAACAGATTCGCTAGAGGAATTTTGTCAGACTCTGAGCACCCACTCTACCAGCAGCTCCAACCTTGTGTCTCCTCAGGTAAAACAAGAAGTCTTTTCAGAAGACTTTATGCACGTACGTCTAAGTATAAAAATTCCACTATGCCATATTTAGCACGTACTCTATGTGATGAAAATAGTGTCAGAAATGAACTAACTAACCTTCTTAGCACCACTAAATAGACCATTTCCTTCAACCTTAAAGCATCATACTTTATTGTTATTGTATTTCTTATATTTATAATCCTCTCAATTTTTTCGTTTTGTTTATTTTATTTTTCATAAGTGTGGACATAATTTTAAGCTGTATTATGACTGTTAACTTTGTATTTCACCTCACTATACCATATCAACAGAACATTAGACCCAATTATCCATAACATGCTAAAGTTTCCAAACTGAATCGACAATACCGTTTGAAACAAATTCACTGTTGTTAGTATTTATTATTATTATATCTAATAATTATGTCGTTAATGTGGAAAAATTCCTCCGATTAATTTTGTTTTAATTTTTAATTCTATATACACTTTGAGTAAATCAGATGCAATATTGTGACAAATGCTGAGAATTCCATTCTGTATTGTAAGTACTGTTTTTGGAATAAAGTAAATTATTATTATTGATCCTCCTTTGTGGATGGGGGATACTATGGCGTCTTTCCAGTCACGCGGTAGCACTCCATTTTGGAGAGAAAGCTTGAAGATCGTAGTCAAAGGGCCGGCTATGTGGGCTGATACCTCCTTGAGAAGCCTTGGATGAAGATCATCAGGACCCATTTATTTCCCTGCATCTAGTTTCACTAGGCAGTTGAGCACGATGCCTTGGTCGATTTCAACGGAATCTATCCCATGTTCTTCTGATGCAGCCAGAGCTGATCCTATAGGCAGTGACGACTCCCGGGTGAAGACTTGGGAGAAGTAGTTTGCCATTGCTTCTGCTTTTCTTGATCTTCTTCGATTGTATCATTGTAAATAGTCAGGTTTGGGACACCATTGGATGTTTTATTCCTGAAGTTCATGTACGAGAAAATTTTCTTAGGTTGTGCACTTGCATTTTGAGCCAGGTGTGCTTCGAACTTCATCGTTGATTGGTGGATTTCTGCAATAGCTCTATTTCTAGCAGTGTTATATAATTGCCTGGTCTCAGAAGTCTCAAGTGTGGCAAACAAGTTCCAACATTTGCGTCAACGTCTGATTAACTTACGAATCTCTCGGTTTATCCAAGGGGGCAATGTTTCCGACCCTTTGGGACAGACCAAGGGATGAAAGGTTCAGTTACTTGGCCTAAAGTTGTTTAAATTGGCTCCATGAGGTTTCTATTTGAGACTCTGGGCTGATGTACCAGTTTACTGAGTTGGCCGCTGCGACGATTGCATTTATATCAGCTTTCCAAACGTTTGGTCGAGTTGGGGTTTTGGCCCTTGCTGCCGTTGCTGTGAACTTGAAAGTGAGCACAGCATGGTCACTTTTTCCTGAAGGAGGAAGATGTTTCATGAGATCTACATCCTCACCGTGGGAGAACACTAGGTCCAGAGTTGAGGAGGAGTGCTGTGAGTCATAGCGCGTGGGCTTAATAATATGTTGGACTAGGGCTAACGATATACTAGATTCCAACAGTTTATGATCAAAGGAGTTGACTGAAGATGGAGTTGTTAGGCTCGTCCAGTCAACTGTTGGGGCGTTGAAGTCGCCAACTACGAGACTTCGACATTTCGAGGTCCAGGAGCCTAGCTTCTCTATCAGAAAGTCATCTGTACTGCAGTCAGGACTGCGGTATTTAGCAATGAGGTCACTGTCTTGGCCTATGCATTTAAGTCTGCAGCGTAGAAGTTCGCACGACTCACTTTCGTGAGCGAGTGCTTCGATACTGCGCACGGTTAAACATTTCTTGAGGTAGATGACTACGACACCTCCTTTGCGGTTTAGTCGGTCCACCCTGTGCACTTCGAAGTTTGGCAAGTTAACTTCGTTGTCAGTGACATCGGGTGTGAGCCATGTCTCTGTGATAATAATTACATCCGGATTTCCGGAGTCTGTCATGTTAACCAGCCCAGTCCGTTTATTTAACAGGCTGCGGGCGTTTGTGTAGCGAACTGTCAATTCAGTTTGGTGCTTCCCCGGCTTACCCACAGAGGTTTCGGGATCATTAAACTGCGAACTTGGACAACCCGAATACCCTTAATCTTAAGGTTCTTTTCGCCGTTTCGGCTTCGTTCGCGTAATTCTAGGGCCGCAGACTGTCTTTTGACACGGTCTGCTAGGCTTAAGTCGGCATGGACATATATGCCTGATCCTATTTTTTGATTTCAATATTTAAATTTTCTGACTTACTAGTTAGGCTTGAAGCCCGATTATATAGGCATCTAACTAAACCTGCCTTTCTCCCATTTAAAGAAGATGCAGTGTCACAAAAGATTGACAAAAGACTGAAAGGTGCAAAAAAGAAGCTTCCCCGCAGCTAAACCCATAACATTATACAGCAGCACTTCTTCTATAAGCCACTCGAAACTGGATAAATACCCTGCTGATGTCATCTCCAACTGCGTTTATGAATTTACGTGCACTTGCGGGAGCAAGTACATTGGAAGGA